AACCACAATGAAACACAGATGGCACAGCCAGCCCGACTCCCAAGGGAAACGGCGTCTTGGAGATCGCAGCACAGCAGTCCCCACGGCTCTCCATGGTCCGAAAAAAATGGAAAACTTCAGAAATAAGTGACTCATAAGCTTTAAACTGCGCGCCATTCTGAGTAACATAATGAAATCTCATGCCCTCTGCCCTGTCCCACCCGGGACGTGAATCGTCCCCGTGTCCATCCAATTCACAATATACACACTGCTCAGCTGTCAGCCCCTTAGTAGCCATCTGCTTATCAGGTCAACTGTCATGGTGTTCAAGTAACCCGTATTCTACTTAATCACGGTCTCATGGCCGTTTGTTACAGTATATTGTTATAACTGTTCTGGTTTATTATTAGTTACTGGAGGGCCGATGCACAAAATTCATGCAAGAGTAGGCCTTCCTTCCCCTGGCTACCGGCACCAGCTTCCGTCACAGCCCTGGCTTCGTCCAGAAGGTTGTCTGAAAGGACGCCTGGTCTAAATTAGCATAATTTACAAATTAAACTTTATCATAGGTATGAGTGTGTAGGATACTATCGGTTTCAAGCATTTCCTGGGGGGGTGGAGGGGGCCTTGGAACGTCCCCCCTTGGCTAAGAGGGGCTACTACACAGTGCAAACTGTTCCGGCTGCCCTCGCAGATTAATCCCGGGGGAGGCGCGCGGCTGGCCCCTGCTGCTTGACAAGCACCTGCTTATTTACTCCACAACCACAGTCCTAGGCTGAGGCGCTACTTCCATCCCTGGTTAGAAAGGAGGGAACAGAGGGTGAGAGGCCCACACCCACTCCGAGTCACACTGGGTGGCAGGCCGCACCCTGACTCCAGACGGCCACCCCCAGGGTCTGCGTGCTTCACCTCACACTGGCTGCATCTGAGACCAGCAAGGTCACGTGGCCCGACACCCTCACAGCACAAAGGGGCAGCCTGAGGTCCAAAAAATTGCTGGGTAAACACATCAGGCTTCCCTAACCCCCTCTACTCACCAAACTAAAGAACCTTACAATGAACGATGCCTTAGCCAGCGGACTGGATCTATGACAGTGGCGCCTCACCAGGGCAGAGGAGGCAAGCCCCACAGGACCTACAGAGCGCCCACCTCCCCATCTCCACGGCATCGACAGAGGAGAGAAACCTGCCGTCACCGATGCCTACCTCCCTGCCCCAGGGGGTCAACCTGGCAGGAATGATGCTCAACGCTACAAGCAATCACAAATAAATGAATAACCCTGGGAAGGAACCAGCAGTTAAGACACCTGATCTGACCAGCTGCTGTGGCTCAGTGGTCGAGCGTTGACCTATGACCCAGGAGGTCATGGTTTGATTCCCGGTCAGGGCACATGCCCGGGTTGCAGACTCCATCCCCAGTAGGGGGCGTGCAGGAGGCAGCCGATCCATGATTCTCCCTCATCACTGATGTTTCTCTCTCTCCCTCTCTGAAATCAACAAAAATATATTTAAAAAAAGACACCTGATCCAGTGTGACCGTGGGTAAGTCACTTTATCCAGCTGACCTTCAGTTTTCTCACCTGGGAAGCATTAAGTCACCATATGTTAAATCACGTGCAAGGGGCTGAGCTAACTGCTGCACACACATAACTCGTCTGGTCTGCAGGACAGCCCTGGGGTGTGGGTGGCACCCGTGGCAGTCTGGGGAGTACTCTGCTGAGATCTCCCTTCAAAGGAACAACAGTTTGTAAGGAACACAGGGAGCCGACAACCTCCAGCTGCACCTGTGGGCTCCAGAGAGGCCACTCCCTCCCCAGGCTGCCAGCCAATGACTGACCCCCGCAAGGGGACGAGGGCCAGCCATCAGGCCATTTCTGCCCACACTAGACTCTTCAGCCCCCCCTTCCCCTTTTTTAGTATGTTTTTATTGATTACAGAGAGGAAGGGAGAGTGAGGGATAAAAACATCAGTGATGAGAGAGAATCATGAATCGGCTGCCTCCTGCACGCCGCCCCCTACTGGGGATCAAGCCCGAAACCCAGGCATTTGTCCTGACCAGGAATCGAACCGTGACCTCCTGGGTCATAGGTCGACACTTGACCACTGAGCCACGCCGGCCGGCCGGCCTCTTCAATCTTGGCATCTGTACCACAGGACCAAAAGTAACACCATCCCATGTTACAGATGGGGAAACTGAGGGGGTTAACATGCCAAGGTCATATAAGATCCAAACCAACATCTGTTTACAAAGTCCACGCTCTTAACCGATGGCTGAAAGAACAAAGGAGAGTGTGCTGACACACTTTGCAATGTTACACAAATCCACATGATTTCAGCAAAAGGCAAAACCGTGCCAAGGGAAGGGCACCCTATCAGGAAGCTGCTCCATCAGTTACGGCAGGGTGGCATTCACAGCTGAGCCCTTTAATCGTATTCTCCCTACTAAGGGAGGACAACACTCTCCCCAAACCCACTTACCTCAAAAGGTAGTTGCTCTAATCAAACGAGACTCATGTCTCCAAGAAAAACGGCAAATAAACACAGTGTATGAATGTCACCTGCAAAGCGCTATGCAAACCTGTGGCGGCAAACGGATAATGGCCCAACCCGGGGGACTCCAAGGAAAGGGAGGAGGGCCTTCTCTGAGGCAGGTCCCCAGACCAGCGGAGAAGATGAAGGAGCGAAGAAAACAGAGGACAAAGCTGACTCTTCCAGAATCCCACGGGACTCTGATCCCTGCCCACCCCGTGGGCCTGCAACACCGTCCCTAGCACACAGGGGGCGCTCGACAAAGCCCTGCTCATGGGAACAGCGTCCAGGAGACCTCCCGTCACCACCTGTCACCACCTGTCTGCTCTCCGGGCCAGGGGCACCGGCGCCCGACAGCCGGAAGCGCAGGGGCTACCTGGCAGTTCATGTTGTCCTCCGCCTCGATGAGCTTCCCGCGGTACACCTCGCCGGTGTTGGTCTCGCACGTGACGATGTGGCCCTCGGCTTCGTGCAGGACTTTGATGGGCACGCCGATAGACATCTTGGCAGGAAGCGAGCTCTACAGAGAGAGAGGCAAGTTGGCTCAGCGTCCAGGGCCCGAGCAGGCACAGCCCATGCCTCCCTCCCTGCTGCCCTTTACCCCCATCAAATAACCAATTCTGCGCGTGGGTCGGGCACGAGGGGGCTGCAATGCATGGACCTTACAATGGATTGCCCACCCACAGTGGTGGGTAACCAACACCCTTCCGGGGACCCATGATATCGACCCGAGCTGCCCAACGCGGCAGCCGCTGTCTGCCTGTGGCTACTTAAATTATAAACCGACAGGCACATCTAGAAGAGGCCGTGCACTGAGTGCAAGCCCTCCGATGCCCTCTGACCCCCACGTCACCATCCAGGCTAAAAAGCAAACATCAGCGCGCGCACCGTTAACCGTGTGCCCTAAGCAAGGAGGCGCTCATCTCGGAGGAAAGACATGAGCACAGGGCTAGCGCCTGGCGGCTAAGGAAACACGGACAAGCCGTGGATGTTTTATTCCCGAAACGAGTGGCGGCGGAGGGTGGAGACTCATCGTGGGCGCGTGCGGCTGGGAGACAGGCTCCCCGAGGAATTAAACGTGGAAGCGGGAGCCGCTGCAAGACGGACAGTAAGGAAGGAAGGCGCCAACAGAAAGGCAACGGCCCCTGCGAAACGGACACGGCTTAGCAGCAGGGAAACGTGGTAAAACGCAGGTAACAGCGTGGAAAGCCCGCGGGCACCGGCGCCTGGAGGGAGATGGAGGCCACGATGCGAGGACGTCGTAAAAGGATGCAGGGGGGCGAGGCAATCGGCCGGAAATGGCTTCCCGGCCTCGGCCTGCACGCTTGGAGCCCACCGGCCCGGGGACGTACGGAAAGCCAAGGGCGGGTGCTAAATGGGCTCCCAGCGGGCGCCGCGGAGGCCACGCTGATGCTCGGCGGCCCGACTTCCCGCTCTCCCCTTCCCCGAGCCCCGCAGCGCCCCACGGCGGTGCGTCCTTCTCCGTCCCCGGCCGCTCACGGGGGCCTCGGCCTACCCCCGCCGGCCCCTGGCCTCTCCTCACCGGCTCCGGCCTCCTCTTCCCTCCCGGTGCAGCGGCGGCGACTCAGGCGACTGCGAGAGCGTGAGGCGAGCGAATGGCGGTCCCGCGCTCCCAGAATCCCTCGCGCTCCCAAAACGCCGCGCTCGGAGCCCGTCCCCTTCCGTTTCCTAGTGGAGAGCGTCCTCCTCACCCCGCCGGCTGGGAAACCTGGGCTCTGGCACGATCGTTCCGGCTCCGAGGGCTGATGACGGGGGGTGGAGGGGGTAGGAGGGGAAAAGGGAGGGGAGGTCCAGGTGCCGCCGGAAATATCGACCCTCAGGCCAGCAATGGGACGGGGGATCGCGTTCCCAAGCACCCCGCACTAGGCAGGGATCTGGGGCCTGGGCCCGCGGATCGGGGCGGCGGGGGTTGAGGCCGAAGGCTAGGACCCCCTTCACAAGTCAACCTTTGGGGCGCCCTGAGCGAGGCAGGTATTTCACCGTACGGACAGGGAGACAGGAATAGAGTAAGGGGGGAGGAGGGTCGTCCCTGAAGGGACTCGAAATAGGGTTCGGTTTTCCGGAACCCGGCGCTGTCTGGGGTAGGACCAAGCTTGGACATGAGGCTGAGCGCCTTTGGGGAGCCAATGCGCGCTGGGCTCCGGGGCGGGACTCATGAGAGGGGCGGGCTTCCGGGGCGGGGGTTCCCCGGCGCGGGACTCATAGGGGGCGGGGCTCAGGTGGGGGCGGGGCCTCCGGGGAAAGGGGTGGAGAAGGGCCCGCGCGTCGGCGGGAGGATCGGGGAAGGGGTGGGGTCACCAGAAGCCGCGGCTGCGAATGGTCGGGGCGGGCTTAGCGCTGGAGGCGGGGCCTCTAGCAATGGGACTCGGGAGGAGGGAACGGGAGGCCCAGGGAAGGGGCGGGGCGTAGGGAAGGGGCGGAGTCCCCGGGTCCGAGGCCTGGAAGGGGCCGGGGCGGGGCCGGGGGCGGTGCAGCCGCCACCTCCCCCTCTCCCCTCCGCGTTGGCGGCAGCGGCGGTGGCGGCGGAGGAGGAGGAGGAGGAGGAGGAGGAACCCGACACACTCCGGCCCCGCTCCCGCCCCAGCCAAAGCCGAAGCTGCAGCCGGCGCCAGGCCGGGGCCATGGGCGCCCCGCGCCGCCCGGGTCATGAGAACGGAGGCGGAGGCAGCGGGGCCGTCGCTGGAGCCCGGTTAGTGCCTCTCTGAGGGCCCAGCCCTCGCCCCGGGGAACGCGGGGAGCCCGGTCCTAGCGCGGGGCAGGGTCCGGCCGCGCGACCTTGGGCCGACCGCCGCCTGCCGAGCAGCGATAGAGGCTCGAGCCGAACCCGGCCAGGTGTGCACGGCCGCCTCGGCCCCCACCTCCGAGCCGCGGTCACTGGGCCATTCCTCGTCCTCCCAGGGCCGGGGCCGCCGCAGCTCTGATGGCGATCCTGCTGGGAGGGTCCCCCCGGGCTGTGAGGCAGGGACGCCCCCTTCCCCCAAAGCGCAAAGTCCTGCGGGAGCCGCCTTGGGAGATCCTGACCCGGGGGGACCCGGGGCGACCCGGGGCCTAGAAGCACCAGGAGCTGCTGAGAGCGCAGAGCCCTGCAGGGCCCTCCCCCGGGCCTCCCGGACGCGGCGTTTCGTCTGCAGCTCTTCGCCCTCCGCTTCCTTCTGCCCCAGGGTGGCCCGAGTGCCTTTGGGGCGGACACCAAGCGCACCCTCCGCGCCCTGGTGCTCGGGGTGCTGCTCCAGGAGGGAGGGGCGAGGCAGCGACTGTGCCCAGCGACTGTGCAGAAAACTCAAGTGAGGTGCCCGCTCGGGGGAAGGTCAGGACACCCGGGTGTCCGTGGGGCCTTGGTGTCCCACCAGGGAGTGGTGCCAGCCAGGAGTCGGTCTGATGCTGTCCTGGGATTTGCATCCTGCTCCCCCAGCTCGGTGCTCTCGGACCAGGCCCCGGCCTTCCCTGAGCGTCAGGCAGGAATGGCTCACCCTCAGGGGGAGCGCCCCTGAGCAGGCGCTGTGGGAATTGTTTACCTTCAGTGCCTGGCTAATCCTGTAGCCACCCCAGGACGGGTTACCATAGTTATTTTCGCTTTCACAGACGAGCTGACTGAGGTGCTCAGTGTCAGGGCCAGTGTCCCGCTTTCCGCCCTTGGTGACAGCTGCCAACCGAAGCCAGCAGGGCCGTCTGGGCAGACCTAGCCCTCAGGTGGGCAGCCCCTCTGCCCCAGCGCCCACAGTGAGCAGCGGCTTGGGCTTGGAAGGGCTCGCCTGCCCTTATCACCCCCCACAGGAGTCTCTCTAGGTCCCTGTGGGCGGACCTGCAGGTGCCAAGACTGGGATCTGCCATGTGGGGACGTGTAGGTCTCCGGGGCCTTGGGATCAGGGCCTCCAGGGACCAGGGCAAGAAGAGAAGGGACAGCAGAGCTCAGAGCAGCTGTTCTGAGCGCGGACAGACTCCAAGCCCAAGCAAAGATGGCCCAGCGAGTCGGTGCCGGAGCCCAGCCCACAGAGTGAGGAGGGGGCCGTGCACAGGGCTGCTGTCCTGAAGCCTGGGCGGGGGGGGGGCATTGCAGTGGCAGGTAGGCTCGGGGCATCTCAAGGGAGAAGGCCTTTGGGGAGAAACACCTTTCATTCACCAAGCCTGGGCGAGGGCCAGGAGGGGGTAAATGCCACCTTGTCCCCACCTGCCAGGGAGATAGCGTCCATCTGTCCAGTGGGGACGCCATCTCAGATACTCCATGTGGAGGGGCTCAGAGAGGAAGAGGGGCCGGAGCATTTGGACATGTAGAGGCGGGAGACAGCATTCCCGACTAAGGGACGAACAGTGTATACAAGAGCAACTCCTGGGAAGTAAACGGCCTGTGAAGGACAAACAGAAAGGCAGTTTGTGGTCACAGGGAGGGGCTCTTGCCTAGGGAGGCCCGCCACCCTGAGGGGACCACACCCTGTATAGAACTCCCTCCACTCGGCCCGGGCAGGGAATGATTTTAGAACACGAATCCTCGGACTTAAGGGTCTTAATCACTATAGTGCCCCTAGGGCAGCGGTTCTCAACCTGTGGGTCACGACCCCTTGGGGGCCGACCGACCCTTTCACAGGGGTCGCTTAAGACCATCGGAAAACACGTGTAATTACATACTGTTTTTGTGATGAATCACTGTGCTTTCATTATGTTCAATTTGTAACAATGAAAATACACCCTGCATATCAGATGTTTACATGACGATTCATAACAGCAGCAACATGACAGTGACGAAGTAGCAACGAAAATCATGTTATGGTTGGGGGTCACCACGACACGAGGAGCTGCATGAAAGGGTCGGGCGTTAGGAAGGTTGAGCTCCGCTGCCCTAGAGCCTAGCACACAGTGGCTGTTTAATAAGTTCATTTCTTCCCACAAATGTTCATTGAGTCACGACTAAGCATCGGACACCAGTCACTGGGATTAACAGTGAAGGAGATCAGCAAATTCTCTGCCCTCGGGGAGCTTATAGTCTGTCCGGTGGAGACAGAGTGACTTTATTATTGTTGCTGTTGTCTTGTTACATTTTGCTAAGTGCTGTGAAGGAGGGCTCCCTTCCCCCAAGAGCATAGTCTGAAAAAGCCTCTCAGAGGAGGAGACTTTAACCTGAATCACAGGAAGGGCCAGTCTTGAGAACAGCAAGGGAAAGCGGTCAAGACCGAGAGTGACATGTGCAAAGGCCCTGGGGTGGAATGAAGCTCGATGGGTTTCCAGGGTAACAGGAACGGATGAGTGAGGGAAAGGGCCAAGGCGAGGCAGGTGGGGCTCAGGTTGGGCCGGGCCCTGCGGGCTGTGGTAAGGGGTGAGAACTGGACTTTAAGAGCAATGGGGAGCTATGGATGGGCCCCCTCTGGCTTCTGTGCACAGAGATGGGAGAGGGGCTGGGGCTGGAATTTAGGGCAGAGGACAGGCAGGACTAAGCCCTCAGACTGAAGCCGGGGCAGCTGCAGGAGGCGAACGTGCGAAGGCCGTGAACGCGGGGCCAGAGGTGCTGGGTCCGGGGAAAGGGGGCACGAAGGCTCAGCCAGCCTGGGCCGGTGCATCAGGGCCCGTCCCGCTGCATGGACCCAAGGCCTCACGCATGTTCTTGCCCTGAGCGCGCAGCACTTGGCAGGCTGGCGCCTGTGACGGCCCGAGAGGTCAGGCGCCTCAGCCAGCCGGTGGCCCGCATCAGCCGTGCCTTCTGCCTTCCATGCCCCTGCGCACCTTGCGGGGAGGGGGGGGACCAGCACAACGCAGCAAAGGAGCAGTCACGGTCCCTGCCTCCTGGGAATGCACAACAGCCCGGGGCACAGACAAGCTCCTTGCAAGGGCCCCTAGAGGCACAGTGTGCACTGGGCCTGGTGAGTGTGCAGATAAAGGAGAGGGCGTGGCCAGCGGGGCTCAGGGGAGGCCCCAGGAGTGATGGTACGTGTGCTGGGGAGGATCAGACAGAGCAGGCACCTGGGACCCCTCCAGGAGGCGGCCCGCAGGTCAGAAGGGCAGGACGGGCGCCAGGACTCGCGAGTGGCCCTCTGGTTGGTGCATGTCTGGGAGCCAGGCTCGGGGCTCTGCACCTGCTGGTCTTGAGTTCAAGAGAGACCCCAGAGGCGCCTGAGATGAAAGGGCGCAGGCTGGGTTTCCGGTGCTGAGCAGGTGCCGTGAATCAGCATGAGTGGCATTGACGGCTGAAGGGAGGGACCTCCGTTCTTTAGACTGTGGACTTTGTCCAGATCCATGGAGTCCCAGACGGGGCGGGCCCTGGAAGCTGGCGCCAGCTCGCCCCCCCTCAGGGCCTCAGCACGTGCTGTTCCCTCTCTGACTTGTACTTCTTTTTTTTTTTTAATCTTCACCCAAGGGTATGTTTTCCATTGCTTTCTAGACAGAATGGAAGAGAGAAGGGGGGGGGGGGGGGAGAGAAACATCGATTTGGTTGCCTCCCGCACGCACCCCTACTGGGGCTGAGGTAAAGTGCCCTTGACCTCTAATCTAACCCTGGACCCTTTGATCTGCAAGCCGACGCTCTAACCACTGAACCACTGGCCAGGACTGCCTTGTGCTTCTTGACTCTTGGCTCCCCAGGGCGCACCCTACCCTGTTCTCTGGCCTCCCTGTTCTCTGGGGCTTGCTTGGTGTTGCCGCCTGCCGGGACAGGGACCTGCCACTGCTGTATCTCCAGGCCAAGCATGTCAAACTCAAAGGCTGACACGGGCCAAATAAATGAGCCATGCAGCCCGCGGGCCGAGAGTTTGACACGCTTGCGCTAGGCCTTGGGAAATGCGTGTTGATTGAATGACTGAATCAGACCAAAATTCCCCACTTTGGAGATGGCCAGACTCAGTCCAGCCAGAGGAAGTCAGTCGCTCAGCCCACAGCCAGCCGGTGGCCACGGGGCTGGTACACCTTCCCTGCCCCCGGCCCCGCCTCACTGCCCGGCCAGGGCCTCCTGAGACAGGCCGCCCAGCGTCGCGTGCCCCGTGCACAGACTCTACGTCACAGTCCCCTTCTCTCAACCCGGGCTGCACACCGCGGTGGCCCCGGGGCTTTGAAGTCAGACAAACCTCCAGGGGCCGTGGGAATTCAGACATGAAATCGCTAAGCGACTTTCATGAGCTGCCCTGTCACTGCCTTCTCTGAGCTCCCCCTAAAAAGAGGGCTCAGAGAGAGGGCTGTGAGTGCGCATAGTGGGGGGCAGGCAGACAGGTAATGTCGTGAAGAAGTGACACGGCCCTGGCCGAGTGGCTCACTTGGAGCTTTGTCCCTTACACCAAAAGGCTGAGGGTTCGATTCCCGGTCAGGGCACATCCCTAGGCCGTAGGTTCGGTCCCATGTACAGGAGGCACCTGGTCAATGTTTCTTTTTCTCTCAAATGAGAAACAACCTTGGGTGAGGAATAAAGAAAAAAAGCAAAGGCAGGAGATCGCTCAGTCACTGGAGGCCGGGAGAGTCCTCGGGTGCAGGCGGAGGGAGAGGTGTGCACAGGCCAGGGGCACGAGGAGCCGCGTGGCCGGGGAAGGCTCTGCCTCGGGGAGGGCGGTGAGGACACACATGGGGGTGCGGAGGAGAGGCTGCTGGGCAGCCGCGGGGGCACTGTCCTAGGGACGCGGGACCCAACCCACCCGGGGATGTGACTGGTTTTGTTCCGGGGAGACCACCGCTGCTGTATGGAGAGTGGGTCGGAGCCGAAAGGCTGCGGGCGGGCCCCTGACTCGCTCCCGCGGGGCCTGGGCAGGAGCCGGTGGCCGTGGTTCCCGGTGGCAGCGGCGGCCGTGCCGGACCCGTGACCACCTGTGTTTCCACGCAGGGGACTTTGTGCAGCTGCCCGTGCCCATCATCCAGCAGCTCTACCACTGGGACTGCGGCCTGGCCTGCTCCAGGATGGTGCTGCGGTGAGTGGCGGGCCGAGGCCCACCGTCCACACCACCCGGGGCGGCCTGGGTGGGATGCGGTGTCCACGTGGCCATCCGTGGTCAGGGCCTGTGGGAGGCTCCGTGCCATCTGCAAAAGCTAACGAGGGTGGACCCGGCCCTCCCGGGGTCCTCTCGGGGATGCCTGGGGCGCGGGTGGCGAGGGAAGTCCTCGGTGCCCAGGCCCGGCCCACAGAGTGACCCCATCACTGGGTCACAGGGCCTTCCCTTCCCGGCCCCAGGCTCCTGCGGGACTGTGTGACCCTCACCGGGACTTTGACCGTCGGAGGCTGAGGAGGAGTTTCAGGCGCTGCTTCCCCTCCACCCGTTTCCCATCCGGGAATTCCAGGCCCGATAGGGTTCAACGAAAGAATTCTCTGCCCCAAACTCAGAGAGCCACTGACGTGGTCCCAGCCCCTCACGGAGAGATGAGCTCGTGAGGCCAGCGGGGTGGTGACTTGCCCAGAGTCACGCAGCCCACAGCGATGCGAGAAGCAGCGCGGCGCCCGGGCCCCTTTTGGTGGCGCCCGGGCCGCGTGTGGGCAGGACTTGAGGCCTCGTGGCAGAGGACGGAGCCTTCTGAGAGCGGGCGCTCTGCCAGGCCGATGGGCCGCAGGGGAGCGTGAGGACGAGCGACCTCAGCGGCGTCTGCCCACAGGTACCTGGGCCAGCTGGACGACGGCGAGTTCGAGGGGGCCCTGCAGGAGCTGCGGCTGACCCGCAGCATCTGGACCATTGACCTGGCCTACCTGATGCGCCACTTCGGGGTGCGGCACCGCTTCTGCACCCAGACCCTGGGGGTGGACAAGGGCTACAAAAACCAGGTGAGCCCCCGTGACTCTCACCACCGATGTTCCTCTCTCCCTCCCTCCCCCTTCCTCTCTGACATCAATAAAAAAGTTTTTTTTTAAATAAAAAAGAACCAGGTGAGGGGCTGGCCGCCAGCCCTTCAGCAGGCTCAGTAGCTGGGAGAGCGTGCAGTCAAGGCCTGGACACGTGAGTGGGCACACAGGTGGGCGGAGGCCAGGGAGCAGATGTGCTGTGGGCAGGACTTGGAGCCAGTCAGTGCGGGTGACCTTGAGGTGCCTCCCACACAAAGGATCTGAGCAGCAAGCTGGTTCCTCCCAGCACCCCCGCCCCAGAGGGCCCTGCCACTCGCCCTGGACAGCGTGAGCGTCTCGGGCCGCCTTCCGCCTCCTCCCCCGCTGCCCTCAGCACAAGGCAGGCCCCGGGCTCAGCGCACACTCTCACCTGGTCCGGCCACCATCTGCCCATGTTCTTCCTTCTCACGGAGCAGCGGCTCCAAGCTGGGTAGTGGGGATTCTGGAAGAAAAACCAAAATATCTTTTTTTTTTTTTTTTGAAAAAGGATGCCGACCTAGGCCGGCCAGTACACTGGTATTCCCCCTCCGCACAGCAGAGCCAGGGTGGCCTGCCTCCAGGCGGGTCAGCCCGGCTCTGAAACTTGGCGGGCAGAGCCGCTGCTGGCTTCTTTGGCAAGAGGGTTGCTGCCAGTGGCCAGGGCCAGGCAACCTCATTCTCCCCTGAACCCCCAGGCCAGGCAGAGGGGCTCTCGCATCCGGTGTGGTCACCACGGCTGCACGGCAGAGCCGGGGCCCAAGAACGGGGTCACTTGCCGCCTCCACAGGGGCTCCGGCCCCTTAAATCCCCGTAAAGCCGAGTGCGCCCCATGGGCCTGCCCTGGCGGAGCGGGGCTGGGCGGGCACCCTTGCTCACTTGCTCAGACCCCTGCCCATGCGCACCGGGGCTGACTGACCCCCCTGGGAGCCGCTCAGCGCTGCCCACCGCCTCCTGAGCATCGTCTCCACGCCTCCGTGTGGCCTCCGCACTCCTGTCCGCTGGGGCACACAGCCCCCTGCCCGCATCGCCTGTGCCGTCTCGGACTCATAATGTGCTCTTTGTCCAAAGGGGCTGAGGGGCCGGCGGGGTGGGGGTGGGGGCCTCAGCCCGTCCTTCTCCCTGCAGTCCTTCTACAGGAAGCACTTCGACACCGAGGAGACGCGCGTCAACGAGCTGTTCGCACAGGCCCAGGCCTGCAAGGTGCTGGTGGAGAAATGGTGAGCCTCCCCCGCCCTCCGTGTGCACCCGTCACCCGTAGACTTGCCTGGTCGAGGCCTCAGGATGGGGTGAGAAAGGCTAGGGCCGGGGGAGTCGGGCAGCCTGGGGCGTCCTGCCCGCGTGGCTGTGGGCACTGACTTGTCCCCCGAGCCTTGGTGTTTTCATCCATCGAAAGGGGACCCGGGGGGGCTACTGCTGTGCACAAACCTCTGCCTGGGCGACCCTGAGCGGGGGCTGGCGGTGCAGGTGAGCAAGACAGACGCCAGCCAGCCCTGGGCGACTCCAGGACAGTGGCATGGACAGACCACAGTACCCCGAGGGCAGGGCTGAGGACCCTGGAGGCTGCTGGGGGGACAGCCCAGCGAGGAGGGAGGCCTGGCTCCCAGCTCTCCCCACATCTGTGACCTTACCCGGGTCTCCCCTTCTCATCTACACGGGGTGGGGTCTAGGCAGACCCTGGGAGGAACTTGCCCAGACGTGAGCGCTGTCTTCCCGGCTCGCTGCGGGCTCGGCGCTTGGGCCTGTGGCTCAGGTCCCAGCCGGCCTCTCCCAGCCCACACCGCTCTTCCCAGTCTCCCCGTTCTCTCAGACTTCGGTGTCCATTATGAGCGAGGTGTGGCCACACGCTAGGCGATTTGGAGAGCGGGGAGGTCTCCACGCACCTTGGGCCCCAGGAGCACAAGCTGCGGGGAAAGGTAGCAGGTGCTTCCCGGTGGCGCCTGGCAGGGGCCGTCCTGCGTGGGGAGGCGTCTGTCCACCCCTCGGGTGAGGAAGCAGGACGGGAACACCAGTGAGAGCCGCCCCGTCCCCCGGGCACCGTGGCCCTTGGCTGGGCTGTGACGGGACCTGACGCTTCCACACGCAGCCTTTCCACGCCGCCCCGCCTTTCCCAAGGCAGGAACCCCACTCCCGTACAGGCCCTTGGGGCTCAGCAGGTGTTTGTTTCAAAGACCAGATGGGAAAATGAGGTGCTTCCCGGGGCGGAGGCAGCAAATCCAGCTGCCACGTGACGTGGCCGTGGGCTGGGCTGGCCCACGTCCAGCCCCTTCTCTCCTGGTCCGGGGCACTGCGTGGGGAGCTGGCTCTGCTGGCCCGGGGCCCTGGGAGAGCTGCGGACCGGCCCCTCCTGGGCAGCACTCTGCCACCAGGAGCCTTGGAGGCAAGAAAAACAGCCCCTCAGAGAAGTGTGGGGGTTTGACCTGGCAACGCCTTGCGTGGCTCGGAGTGGGGGCGTACGTTAGGCCGACGGTCCCCGCGGGAGCCACGCGAGTTAGGGTGAAGGACCAATGGAGGCGCTGGGCTCACATGATTCACTCCGCCCAGGAGGGTCCCGGGTGCTGCTCCACTAGCCCTCGGTCGGGGGGGTTCGTCTGGGCCTGACCCCACCCCGTGAGGGCCCGATGGGGCCGGCCTGTTCTTGGGCGCACGCGCAGCCCCCTCCACTGGTCCTGCCCTTGGCCTTGGACTGAGCAGGGAGCTCGGGGGGAGGGAGGAGCCCTGTCCCCAGGCCGGGTGACGGGTCCAAGCGGGGTCACTGGAGAGACGGGGCGGGGCCGTGACCGCCGCCTCCCCCGCAGCTCGGTGAGCATCCAGGACATCCAGGCGCACCTGGCGCAGGGCCACGTGGCCATCGTGCTGGTGAACTCGGGGGTGCTGCACTGCGAGCTCTGCTCCAGCCCCGCCAAGTACTGCTGCTTCGCCCCCCGCGGCCACCGCTGCTTCTGCCGCACCCCCGACTACCAGGGCCACTTCATCGTGCTGCGCGGCTACAGCCGGGCCACGGGCTCCATCTTCTACAACAACCCGGCCTTCGCTGACCGTGAGTGTGGGGGTGGGGCCCACATGCCTGCACCTCCAACCTCCTCCCGTTCAACCTGGGGGGCCAAGGCCTCCCCCCGCCTTCTCCCCACCCCTGCTCCTCCTGGGCCTGTCCTCTGTGCCATCCCTCAGGCCTGGCCATCTCTCCCTCCCACGCCGCCAGCCTCCCCCACTGCCCAGGGCCCCACCGCACGTCTGCTGGACAGACTGCAGGTTCCTCTCCCACCTCTGCCCCCCCAGCCCCGACGGGAGGTCAGCACACTCGTCAGAGAGTCTGAGGACCCGTCCGGGCTCCCCACTGCCCGGGGCAGGGAGGACCGCCCTGGCTCAGACTTACCCGCTGCTTCCCTCTCGGGGCCTCACTTCATCGCTGACCGGGGGAGGGGTCAGGGGCAGCTCCCGAGGCCACAGCAGCAAGGAGGGCTCTGGGTGGGAGACTGTGTGCCAGGAGTGGCAGGGGTGGGTCATGGCCACCCGCCCGGTCCCCAGGTGCCGGGAGCAGGTGCTCCCCCGCCGCTGACCGCCCTGCCCGCCCTGCCCGCCTCCCGCAGGAATGTGCAGCACCAGCGTCAGTAACTTCGAGGAGGCCAGGACCAGCTACGGCACGGACGAGGACATCCTCTTTGTCTACGTGGACAGCTGACAGCGGAGCCGGGCCCACTCAGGAGGCCCAGCCCAGCCCAGGCTGCTGGGGCTCGGAGACAGAGCGAAGGCCTCCGCCCGTGGGACAAAGCCCCAGGGAATTCTGGGAGGTCGCAGCACACCTGACTCATCACCCACCAGTGGTGAGTGCCATCATGCCACTCAGCCCGTACACCCTCTGGGTGCTGGAGACACCCCAGAGCTGAGCAGAGCCCCCCAGGACCGCAGTCTGACTCCGACTGCTCAGGGGCACCCAGCTCCGAGGGCGCCCATACTGCCTCAAGCAAACCCCAGCTTGGGGAGCGGCCTGGCCCGTCCCCCCTCAGACCTGGGTACCCAGCCCCGGGAGAGAGGTTGCTTGTCAGGACAGTGTGTGTGTGTGTGTGTGTGTGTGTGTGTGTCAGGACAGTGTGTGTGTGTGTGTGTGTGTGTGTGTGTGTGTGTGTCAGGACAGTGTGTGTGTGTGTGTGTGTAGATTGGCTGACCCGGCCTCGCTGGGAGCTGTCCCCCCTTCTCCCTGGGGGTGCTGCGGAGCCCAGGCCCCATGGCTGGTGGCCCCTGGGAGGGCTGGGCCTTGGGCAGAACAGACTCTGTGCCCCCACCCCCCCCAGCCCTCCAGGTGCCCAAGCTCTAGGGGTGTGGGCAGGCTCCTGCCACTGGCCTGCGTCCCAGCAGTGGGCCGTCCTTTGAGAACGGGGAGCCCCAAGTCTCGCAAGGCTGGGTGCTGGGCGCCAGGACAGGCTGCGGCCTCCCCCCACCCTGGTGTTCACGCCACGACCTTTGGCACAGAATATTGGGTCTCCTGCCTGGGTGAGAAGCGGTGCCCGCCCAGGTCACAGCGCGGCGTGGGCACGGCCTAGAACTGTGGCCTTCTTTTCTTTTCTTTCTTTTTTGGCGGGGAGGGAGGCGGGTTATTTGAGATTTAAGTTTTCACTTCTGGGGTGAGATTCACCCCCAGACGCTAATAGTGAGACTGCAGGTACTTGGAACACGGACACCTCTTCACGGGCAGACGCGCCAGTTCAGGTCCCTCCTCAGAGAGGAGGCCCCGCGGGGCCCATGCCAGGCCCCCACCTGCAGGCAGAACCCCTGGGTCGGGGAGTTTTCCCGGGACACTGACGGGTGAGCGGGGTCCGCACCCAGGCCTGCACCTAAGAAATAAGGGAAGTGGATCCTGCCCGCAGGGGCTGCCTCTGGCGAGGGGGCAGGGGTGCCTACAGCCCCGTTCTGCACCCCTGCGTCTGTGCCCAAGGCTGCCCCCCCTCCCCAAGGCAAACCACGCTCAGCACCTGCCCCACCCGCCAGCTGTCCCTCCCCACTGGCGGCTGGCGGGCTGGGTGGGCCCTGCTAGAAGGGCTGGCAGGCTCACCAGCGTCTCAGCACCAGCCGTGGCCTTGGCCGAGAGGGCGGTGCCACCCTGGGGTGCAGCTAGCGTGGTCTTCAGACTGGTCTCTGTTGCCTTAACGCTGCGTGGCCTCCCGGGGAGCCTGGCTCCATGCCCAGCAGCCCACGTGTGGCAGCGTGGGGTGGGCGTCCTCAGGAGGGGCTGGGGAGACTGGCAGGGCGGTTGAGGGAGGGAGGCCGGCGCGGCTGGCAGGAGAGCAGCCTCCGTGAGGGTGGGCACAGCGCCTCTGTCCATCGTGTGACACTTAAAAGCGCTCCGTCCCTGGGTGTGGAGGGGGACCACAAGGCAGGTCACCTGTCTGGGAGGATGGCAGGAGAGCTGCCTGTCCCTGAGCAGCCATCTGCCCGGGGAGGGTCACGGGGGGGAGGGGGGGACAGGGCAGGGATGTGAACCACGCGCCATTGTGCAATGAGAAATCATGAAGATGGAGATGGGCCAAGAAGAGCCCCTTCTGCCTACAGACCGACCCCCTGTCCACAGCTGGGTCCCAGCACAGCCCCTGAGCCACGTGGACAGGTGGCTCTGTCCACTCCAGCCACGTGGAGACAAAAGGGATCTTTTGCATTGCGGAGATTTTATACATAAATCTATTTTGTCTGTAATGAGCCATTCTCAATAAATGTTTCTCACTGCAACGTGACTGCCCCTGGCCCGCCTCCGTGAATTCTCTGTCCCGGGTGTGGCTGGGCCTGTGTCCCTCCTGATGCTCTGCAAGGCCCGGGCAGGCCGTGCGGGGCGGAAGGGCCCAGGGTCTCAGCTGGCCTGGGGCCTGAGGGCTGCAGGACGGGAGGCCTTGGGGGAGAGCGGGGGGTGGGGGGGCACAGGAGGGGACTCAGCCCTTGGGCCCTCCACCCAGACCAACCGGCAGCTCCCTTACCTGCTAGTGTTCCATTCGGTAAGAATTCTGACAAGGGGCGTGGCTGGGGCCCTGCGTTACCTGCACCTTCAGGCTGCCGGGCTGGGGCTGGGGCTGGGCTGGGGCTGGGGCTGGGGCTGGGGCTGGGGCTGGGGCTGGGGCTGGGACAGGACGTGCTGCCACATCGCTGGAGGCGAGTGCACTCGCTCAGAGCCCTTTCTCCTTCCACGGTCCCTGACCCCCGCGCTCTACCCCTGCCTCAGCTGCTTTAGGAAAAGGTCAGGGATCAAGGGGGGCCCAATGCCACACAGACCTGAGTGTTCGGGGGGACATTAGGGATGGGAGGGACTCGGACTGTCATATCTCTGCTGGATGAATTCCCAAGTCACCATCCGATCCATCCCGGGTGGGGGGGGGCAGTGTCCAAATTCAACCAATGGGGTGTGGCGTTTCACAGGGGAGGACAAGCTGGGGCCTGCCTTTGGTCCAGGTATTGTGCCTGCATCTGAGCGTGTCCTAGACATGGGTGCTGTCCTCCCAGCTCAGGTGCCGAGGGGCTGCGTCCCGTCAGGAAGGCTCACGCACGTTCCCAGTGCTCCTGGGCATCCCCGTGTTTGCTCCCTGTGGGGAGGTTAGGGTTTAGCCCGTGTCCTTTCACCCTGCGATGTCCCCAGCTGGCACTGGGGTACGGCTAGGGTGGCTGTCAGAAGCCTCAGCCCCCCGATGCTGACAGCAGAGAGTGCACCCCTCCCGCAGCAGCGGGACTGACAGACCCTGAGACACTCAGGGACTTGGGCCTGGCCAGACCCACCGTGTGCAGTCTCCCCGATAGCCACGGGGATCCGCTCCTCCCTCCTCCCGCCACCGCTCCCCGGAGGCCGGCACCCGCTTGGATCTCGGGGAGCGGAGGCAGCATGGCCTCACTGGGCATCCTGCTTGGTCCTTTTAGGTTGGCTCACCCATAGGCCGGCACCCTCTGAACAGCACCCAAACCCTGACTGCTGTGCGGGCTGCCCAGCGAGCTGTGGGCCACTCGCTCCCTTTGGGGCCCCACGATCCATGGCCCCGTTAAGCCATGCGCGTCTCCGGGTCTGGTGCCTGTGCTACCGGGGCCGCTGGCCTTGGGGTCTGGATGTCTTGTTCCCTGACCTTCACCAGGTGCACCCTTGGGAAAGGCTTACTGCTGGGCTCTTGTTGAAACTGAACACCTAACCCGTGGAAGCCTGGCTTGGGCAGTGAAAACGGTACATTGGGGCCCGGCCGGCGTGGCTCAGTGGTGAGCGCCGACCTAGGAACCAGAAGGTCACTTTTCGATTTCCGGTCAGGGCACAGGCCCGGGTTATGGGCTCGATCCCCAGTGTGAAGCGTGCAGGAGGCAGCTGATCCGTGATTCTCTCTCATCATTGATGCTTCTCTCTCTCTCTCCCTCTCCCTTCCTCTCTGAAATCTATAAAAATACATATTTTTAAAAAAGACAATGGTACATTAGAGGACAGCGGGCTGGGCTCAGGCAACACCCAGCTTTCCCCCCAGAACACTGGGGCCTGGTCCTCGATGGGCCAACCACATGGGAAGCTGTGGGGCCCTGGGCTGGGGTGCTGTTCACCCAGAACTGAAACCGGCGAGTCCCTCCCGCAGGAGGTGGGCTCCAGGGCAGGCTCACAGGCCGGCCAGTGCTCCAGGGGAAAGCCGGGCATGTTTTCACGACTCTTGGGCTGCGGCCAATGGCCTCGTTTTTCGAGTTGCCACTTAGAAAACCTCGAGCCAGCCGATGAAAGACACCCTCTGGGTCCGCGGGCGGTGGGAATAGACTGGCTGCGATGACCTGGCTGGCTGGCTCGCGTTAGATGCCCACAGAGCCTGTTTTCTGCGGAGACCAAGTGGAACAAGGCCGCTGACTGCACTCCCTTCTTGCCCCCCCCCCCCCCCGAATTGCCAGGCCCGGACGCCTGCCAGGGCTGGCCTCTCGCAGAGGAGCCACCCCGCACAGGGCACGCCCCGCCTGCTCAGGGCAGGTTAACGCCATCGCACCTCTGACGCCGCGTGGGGTCCTGGCGGCGCCCCACCGCTGCTGACACTTTCCCAGGTCACGTGGCTGCTGTTCCGGTCCAGGCAGCCAACTCGCGGCCCGTCCTGTCCACACACCTTGGTGAAGAGGGTGTCGCTGCGGCGCTGACTCTAGAAAGGCCGTTGCCTGCGTCCGTCTGTGGGAAGCGGTGAGGCCGCGGGGACCGATTCTGACGTCTGGGGACTCAGACTTGGCTGTTCCCTCAGAGCAACGCCAGGCCCGCCTGGCCAGCATGGCGCTCGAGTGGCGACAGCCCAGCAGAAACAGGACCTGGAAATTCAAGCTTGACTCCGGTCCAGCCACTTGCATTCTCTTGTTGGACTGACAGGGTTTTAGACGATAAAGACAATGACCACTTGAGTGAGTCCATTGCTTGCTGAGACCCCCGTGGCAGCTCAGGTGGGACAAAGTGGGGAACATAATGGGTCCCCGTGCATTTTATAAAAAGGCCCTGGCCGGTGTGGCTCAGTGGATAGAGCATCAGCCTGCGGACTGAAGGGTCCCGGGTTCAATTCTGGCCAAGGGCACACATGCCCGGGTTGCGGACTCAGTCCCCAGTGTGGGGCATGCAGGAGGCAGCCGACAACAATTCTCTCTCATCACTGATGTTTCTCTCTTTCCCTCTCCCTTCCTCTTTGAAATCAATAAAAATGTTTAAAACCATGCCCTTGTTCCCCTTGCAAATGACCCTTCCAAACAAGAGGTTTGGGTTTGAGAAAGGGAAACCTGGGAAAATTTAAAGGGGACGCCTTAGCTGCCCTGATTTTGGAGCCGGAGAAGCGACGTTGGCACCTTCGTAGGAAACCGCTCTGATCCCAGGAGCAGGGAGGGAGGGGCACGCATCACTCACGCTGGCTTACGGGATTTGTGCAGCCCGTCCGGCCAAGGCCCCGAGGGGCAGGGTGGAGGTTAACGCTGCAGGCTGGGCTCCCTGCACTCCGGGAAGTGCTGTGGGTGACACTGATCACACGCCGTGGGGCAAACTTGGCCCAGGCCCGGCTGGTCGTGGAGAGGTGCACTCCTGGGGAAGTTGCCGGAAGCCGAGGCGCTGTAGAAACGAGGGGCGGGGGGTGTTGGGGTTACTGCTGTGGGCCTCTCACCTTCGTCAGATGTCTGGTGACCTGTGGGCTCAGACTATACACGTCTTTGCTCTGGACTCTTTCCAAGGTGTTTGCGGAGCCAACTTGGAAGACAGCGCTAGGGCGCCCCCTGGGGCAGGCCAGGTGTTCCTGCAGCCTCGGGGGTCAGAGACGAGGCCCGCCTTCAGCGGAGGGCGGGCATACTACCTGCCCAGTGTACAGCGCTCACGTCCTCTAAGCGCTTTACCCTTTGTCTCTCCCTCGGGACGCGCCCCACTGCGTGTGAGGGAGCTGCTCAGCCTCTGCGCTCTGTCCTGTGGGAACCGCGGCTGGGGAATCGCGGCAGAAAATGCCGGCACCCTGGCTGCTGCTGTTGCTGTGACGGGCTATCCTCGCCCCGACCCAGGGCTGTCCTGTCTTCCGTCAGCGTCCGTGACACTGAGGCTGGGTCACGTGCCAGCTTGCAAACCAAATAGCCTCTCGGACTCTCCCCAGTCCTTCCTTTAATTTCTTCCCAAAATATTCTGTAGTTTTCATTGTCCACGTCTTTTACTCCCTGGGGTAATTCCTAAGTATTGCATTCCTTTTGGTGCTATTGTAAGTGAAACTGTTTTCTTAATCTCCTTTTCAGATTGTTTCCTGTCAGTGCACAGAAAGGCAGCTGGCTTTTGTGTGTCGGCGGTGCATCCCGCTGTCTTGTGAATTCATCTATTAGTTCTGGTCCCACTTCCGACACTGGGGTCTGGACCAGTCGGGGTCCAGCCAGAGAAACAGAACCAGTAGACTATGTATTGAGAGATTTATTGCAAGGAATTGATTTAGATGATTATGGGGATGGACAGAGGAGTCTGACATCTGTAGAGCCCGCCGCCAGGCAGGGCAAAGCTGGACCCTCAGGCCCGGGAAGCTGCTGCTTCAGGCAGAACCTCTGCTCGCAGGCCCTGTGCTGACTGCATCGGCCACCAGGGTTATCTAGGGTAATCCCACTCGCCCAGTTAACTGGCTATGGACGTTAATCACACCTACAAAACACCTTCCCAGCAACGCCCAGGTGGTGCCTGATGAAATAACTAGAGCAGTGGTTCTCAACCTTCCTAACGCCGCGACCCTTTCATACAGTTCCTCATGTTGTGGTGACCCCCACCCATAAAATTACTTTCGTTGCTACTTCATAACTGTAATGTTGCTACTGTTATGAATCGTCATGTAAATATCTGATATGCAGGATGTATTTAGGCGACCCCTGTGAAAGGGTCGTTTGACCGCTAAAGGGGCCGCGACCCACAGGTTGAGAACCGCTGCTCTAGAGACTGCAGCCTAACCAACTTGACACATACAATGGCCTTCCTCCCGCCCGCCCAGGGCCATCCAGGGACTCCGGGTCGGCCTTGCCCTCTCTTGCTGGTACACACACTCCCTTGCTGGAGTGGCTGAGTCTAAACGGAGGGGTGGGGAACCTCGGGATGGGGGCAGCCCACCTGTCTAACTTCAAATCAATCCGCACAGCCCGGGCCTGGGATATGTTTACACGGAGGCAAAAGTCACATAACAGAAAACTAACCAGATTAAAGCACACAATTCCACGGCATGTAGTGCCATCGCCTCTATCCAGCCCCACTGTCATCACCTCAGAAGGAAAGCCTGTACCCATTAAGCAGTCACCCCTCATTCTACCCTCAGCATCGGGACGTTCAAGAATCGATGTGGACAGCAACGTGATCAGGGCATCATCAAGAACGGTCACACCGCCGACCCGCCGCAGGCAGAGGCGCCCTCCGGGCGGGCAGGGCCGAGGGCCAACTACTCCCGCACGATGTGGGGGCGGTAGTCGGGTTGGACGGCTTCCGCCAGCTCCCGCGCGTACATGTCGTATCTGCCCGTCATCTGAAAGCAAAGCAGGTGCCTCAGCGGGGCCGGTTTCTAAAGGCCCGCGCCCGCGCCGCCGCCTCCCGCCACTAGAGGGCAGGCAGGGGACAGGAATGGGACAGGAAGGCTGGTCTGCCGGACAATCGCTTCAGATTGTAAGACAGACACACCCCGCCTGCCCTCCCGGCACTGGCTGCGGGGCTGCAGTGGCGATCACCGATCACCGATGCCAACGTGGCTCACACACCCCGGCCCCCCCCTTCCTGTTCATCCAGAAGCTGTGACCTGCGCTGAGGCCGGAAGGGGGACGGCCGGTGGCCTTGCAGACCCCAGGCGAGCAGCCCACAGCCCGGGGCACCAGCCAGGCTCTGGGTCTGGGGGTCCGTCTCCACACGGCACCTCATCGTGGACGCAGATGGAGGCTGGGAGGTGGTGGGTGGGCCTGGAAAGCCCACCCGGAGCGCTCACACCCAGCATTCCATCCCCTCCCTTCCCTCCCGCCCCCCAAAGCCTGGACCGGAAGGAGCTCGTGCCCATCAGCACAGGCTGGGAAACCTGCTTTCAAAGAGTTACTAGTGAGCAAACATTCTCTGACTATTGGTCCCAGCTTCTAATCGGCAGATGCCTCCATTCACCTGAACTTCCCAGGACGCGGACAGGTGGGCTGGGAGGCGGGCTGTGGGCAGTGCCTTGTCTGTCTGCGAGGATCTGAGACTCGGGGAAATGCCTGGGACCCAGGCACAGGCTAACGGGAGCCCTCGTCTGGCTGGACCCAGAGCCCTGGCTCCTCCTGGACACGCTGGGCAGTCGTTCAGGCATGACAATGGGCATTCACTTGCACGTATGATTTGCCTACAAGTGGTGCTGAGTCAGTGAAAACACTTCCCGGCGCTGATTCAGCGATCTCTGTGTGCATCCACGGTGACGTGCCACCCTCTGCGGGGGCCCAGCCATCGCTGCCACTGCCCCCGACCAGGAGGGGGGGCACCTACGCGCCTCTCCTGATCCCTGGGGTCACAGGTATTAGGTGTCCATGCTCGGGGCATGCACGCTAAGCCCCTCATTTTACACATGAAAGCACCGAGGCCCGGGAACAGAGTGAGGATGTGGCCAAGCTGGGCCTGGACTCCTTTCTTCCCGTGACCCGCTTCCCTCCCTGTCCAGGCCTGGACCGTGGGGCCTGGCCACGGGCAGAGCCAGACGCACACATTTATCTTGTGATAAAGTGCAAATGCCCGGGAAGGGGAAGGGAGCGGAGGAGCTAATCCATTCTATTCCTCGGACAAATTAAATTGAGATTAATTTGTTCGAAGGCGCCCAGATCTAAATCAGATGAGAGGAGGGCTTGCTGAGGCCTGCTGCCTGGGCGCCCTTCACCGCAGGGTTGCTCCATGCGAACAGCCCCGCGGGGCAGGCAGGGCCGGCAGGAGGCGGGGACCAGCGCTGGGCTCCACGCAGAGCCCCCTGCAGGCTGTCCCCCAGGGCCACCCCGCAGCTGCAGTGCTCAGCCCCGAGAGCAGGAGGGGGCTCAAGCCGGGCACTCGGGGACCCACCTTGAAGTTCCAGACGTCATTCACCTGCCGGCACAGGTTGAGGTTGAGCTCGGCCACCAGCAGCCCGTCCCGGGTGCGGGAGAGCCCGGGTGTGCGGCTGCTGTCCGGGGCGGCCACGTAGCTGGAGCCGTAGAAGTAGCCGAAGTCCTTGTGAGCTGGGAAGGGCAAGGAGAGCGCCGTGAGCTTCACGGGCCGACAGCGGGGCAGGCACGTGGAGGGACACCCGGCCCCGGGACCGCACGCCCTCCCCGGCTCTGCCAAACACCGAGGCCCCAGGACCTGCCTCCCCCCTCGGCCCTGAGGGCTGCAAAGCCACCCTCCCAGCGCCCCCCTCTGCCTCCGGAACCGGACCGTGTCCCTTCCACGTCCCCTGCAGAGTGTCGGCCCTTTGCTCCCACCCTCAGCGGCCCACAGCCCACGAAGCCGCCCACAGCCCACAGAGCCACACACAGCCAACGGAGCCACACACAGCCCACGGAGCAGAGGGCTCTGCAGGGCTTCCTGTGGTGGCCCGGCCAGCCGTCACTGGTGCCCTCGCTCCCCGCCCTGGCCCCCAGGAAAGTGGGCTGACAGCCCCCCCACAGGCCTGCCTGCAGCAGGTGGGGGAGGGCAGGGCTCCGCAGGGACCAGGGCAGAGCAGGTGCCCAGGGCCCTCATCCTCCGCCCCCCCCCCGTCCCCCCCCCCCGCCTCTCCCACTCCCCCGGCTGCAGGGAGGCAGCGGGGCTTGGAGCCTGGAGTCGGGCCTCGAGGGGATCTCCGGGCCCTTCGGGAGGGCTTTCCTGGGAACTAACCCACTCGCTACCTCAGGCTCCCAGGGCACCACCTGAGCCTCCCAGGGGACCTTCCTCAGTGAGGGGGCCTCTCCCCCCACATCCCTGGCCAGGCAGACAGACCAGGAGGAGGGGTTCCTGGCAGAGGTACGGTGTGGATTCCAGGACCCCAAGGCCATCCCGGCCAGTGACCGGGCGCCTGTATGGCTCAGGGCGGGGGTGGGCGGACGGGGACAGAGGAGAGGAAGTGGGGTCTGGCACCCCAGTCCCGAGGGAGGGGAGGAGGGAGTCCAATCCAACCCCTCTGGTCCCCACGGGGGAAGGAGGCAGTCACAAGCCCAGGACCGCCTGCCCATCCCCGGCACACAGGCCCCCGCTGTGGGCGAGGGAGCCGGAGCCGGAGCCGAGGGGGCAGAGAGGGAGAAGCGAGGCCCCCTCCCACCGGCAGCCCCCGGGGAGGCTCAGGGACACAGCGTACCTTTCTTCCCGTCTCCAGAGGTAAACTCGTGGGGGAAGTGCTCCTGCGGGACAAAACCACGGTGAGCCGTGCCTGCAGGTGGCACCACCGCTCTGTTCCCCACCCGGCGGGCTGGGCGGAGTCGGAAGCGCTGCAGTGGGAGGACTGGCCGGTGCCCAGGGGCCATCAACGGGCTTATCACACGTCCCACCAGGCCAGGCCGCCAGCCAGCGGGGAACCGGCAGCCAGGCCCAGCCCCGGCGTGTGCCTCCGGGAGGTGCCGCTGTGCGGGGAGACCCCGCGGAGGCCCAGGGTCTAAGGGGCTGAGGCGGGGAGTCTGTCTTTTTGCCAAAGTCTAAGGGCCACTGCACGGCAGGTTAAAGAAACACCGAGTTCCTCTCTGTTGTCAGAGGTGAGACCCCTTTCGTGTGGACACCTGGGTCCGCTCAGACTGACCCGTGTTCTGGGCGAGCAGGAGGGGCGTTACTGTGTGACGGGCCCCGTGTGTGGCAGCCAGGATCACCCCGTGCGTGGGGCCCGCGGGGAACCAACCACCAGGTCCTCAGTGCACACGGGCGGGCGGGAGCCTCTCACACGGTCTCCGCTAAAACCCGACCAGGCAGAGCCAGAGGGGAGACGTGCTGCTGTCTCCACAGGTAACAGAGCAAGACAGCTGCTCCGGCCCTGGGACCCGCGGCGCACGGAGAGGGGCGGGAGGAGAGGTGCGCCATGTCCCGGGCGGCAGACAGCAGCCTTCCCTCTGGCCTGCGCGTCTGCAGAGGCTGCCCCCGCCGGCCGCAGGTTGCCCGCAGCGTGCGGCTCTGTCCCCCTCACACCCCTGGGGGCCTAGGTGCAGCCCCGGCCTTACCTTGCCCACGCGGTTGATGGCGCAGGTGAAGCAGTGGTTGGCGATGGCCGCGTTCCTGGCCTCGATCGGCCACATGGACTCGCTGTGAGAGAAGAAGGAGAGGAACGGGTTGCCGCTTCCCAGCCAGACGGATGCTCGGCCCTGAGCTGCGACCGCTGACAGCCTTCCCGGCCTTTGGGGGGCGGAGGGGGACGGGGACATCCAGGGAGACTCGCTGTGCCTGTGGGTGACCCCACGCTCAGGCCCGGGCAGCCCTTTGGGAGGCCAGCTGCAGGCAGGAGCCTGTTTCCTTTTCTGAAAACCCCTCGAAGGGAGATAGATAGTAGAGACCGTATGACCCTGCAGACGAAGCTTCCAGAGGGGGCCGCGAGGCAGGACTCCACACCTGTTACTTCTCCTCCCTCCCCTCCTCTGGGCGGTGAGGAGCCCACCCCCCAGGCTGGGCAGAGCCTCACCCTAACGGCCCCTGCGAAGGCTCTGCCCCTGCCCGCCCCTTGTCGCCGGCGAAGCAGCTGCACAGGGAGAGGGTCCAGCCAGGCAGCAGGGACCCCGAGGGAGCGAGGGCGGGGGAGGGTAGGTCCTGCAGCAGGCGTCACCTCCCCGGAGTGGGTCCCCTTTCCCAGGGCCTTTCTGGTTTCCTCTTCCGAACCCCGAGCGTCTAAGCAGGGTTCCCTGTCCTCCTAGTGGCCCAGGGAGGAGGCAGCCTCCCGCGCAGCTGAGCTGTGGCTGCCCTCAGCCCAGCACCTGCACGGGGAGGGGACGTGGCCCCACCCAGAGACCCCGTCCTCCTCCGGCCACCAACCAGTGTGCCACCGAGCTCAGTGGGCCTGCTGGTCGCTGATTCTCTCTCTTTTTTTAAAAAAATATATTTTTATTGATTTCAGAGAGGAAGGGAGAGGGAGAGAGAGAAGCATCAATGATAAGAGAGAATCATGGACCAGCTGCCTCCTGCACGCCCCACGCTGGGGATCAAGCCCACAACCCGGGCCTGTGCCCTTGACAGGAATCGAGGCGTGACCTCCTGGTTCCTGGGTTGACGCTCAGCCCCTGAGCCAGGCCGGCCGCTAATGATCTCCTGTCTGAGGAGCGTCACGGAGGTTCAGGATTGACAGGCGCGATGCCCGCTCGGAAAGACTGGGCGACGGGAGCTGAGCGCCCGGAACCTTCTTTCCCGTCGGCAGCACCTGGTTTAAAGCAGGGAGGAGGCGGAGGGGGCGGCGCTGTCTCAGCCTCGTGCTCAGGACTCACGCGGCTGGCAGACAACAATCGCCGGCTTGATTGAGGGGCTCATTTGCTGCTTCTCCCCAGCTGCTAAGCGGAGCTGACGGAACTTTGAAGAAAGGATCTTTACAGAAACACGCCCGTCAGTGACATTTGCAGGGATGACACAGACAGTCGCGGGGCGAGCGGCATACAACCTCTCCCTTGCGATTCTCCAGGGAGGATGTGCTGCGTAGGACTCAAACCCACAGCTGGCGGCCCACTCGGGCTCTCGCAGCGAGCGAGGGAAAGGAAGCTGGGGGTTCGTGAGAGCCCAGCACGTGCGGGAGTCACACGGAGCCCAGCGGGGCCGTGGGGACATCTGCCGCGTTCCCAGCCCGGCTCCGCGAGCCCCTAAAAATACTCAGAGGGGGAGGTGAACCGCAGCCCCGGGGGGGGGGGGGGGGGCTGGGGCGGCGGCTTTCTGATGAGCGCACGTCCGTGGCAGAGCTTCCACCACACGGGCTGCGTGTGACCGTCAGGGTGACCCAGTTCATCGGAAAAGCACGGCAAACCCTGGCTGGTGTGGCTCAGCGGATAGAGCGTCGGCCTGCGGACCAAAGGGTCCCGGGTTCGATTCCGGTCAAGGGCACGTATCCTCGGTTGCAGGCTTCTCCCCGGCCTGGGCCCTGGTTGGACGTGTGCAGGAGGCAACCCATCGATGTGTGTCTCTCACATCGATGTTTCTCTCTGACTCTCCCTCTCCCTTCCATGCTCTACAATCAATGGGAAAATTCCCTCAGGTGAGGATGAACAACAAGAAGAAAACGCTTTGCTGGTTAAAAACAAGGTTCAGAGCCGCGGGCTGGCGTTAAGGACCTCCCGCTCCGACTCCCTCGCTTGCTTTTTGCCCAGGTGCCTGCCCTCCCTGCACTGGGTGCTGCAGAAAAGAGACCAGGGGCTGTGGGGGAGGAGCTGACGCTGGCCAGACACCCCCTGCCCTGGCCCTGGAGAAGGGTTTTTCACTGCTGACGACGAAGGCGGTGAGTGGGGGATTCTTATCATCTCAAGGTTCCGGGTCATAGCCAAGTGTAGCAGCACCTCACAGAGGGCAGCCCTGCGGGGGCTGCAATGGGCATGTGGCGTTTGGTGTGTTCTCCGTGTCACGGAAAAGCTGGTTGAACACACAACACACAGGCCCCAGGCTCAGATTTGTTAGACGTCCTGGTGGTGGCACCTGCCTGTTCCCCAAACCACCTCTGAGGACCCTCCCAGATGCCCGCTGCCCAGGAACCTGAGCACCCCGGACCCCCCAGATGCCCGCTGCCCCGGAACCTGAGCACCCCAGACCCCCAGATGCCCGCTGCCCGGGGACCTGAGTGCCCCGATGGTGGCCGAGGGGTTGAAGATGATGTCGGCCCCGTTGACGCTGTACATGAACCAGTTGAGGGGGTGGTGCCGCCCGTAGCAGATGTTCACCGCGATCCTCCCGAACTGCGTCTGGAACACGGGGTGGCCCAGGTTCCCCTCCATGTAGTAAGTGGACTGGAAGACAAAGGCCGTGGCTTGATCCGTTTCCCTTTTAGAGGGAGAGAGAGAGAAACACCCACCGGCTGCCTCCTGCACGCACCCTGGCCGGGGATCGAGCCCACAGCCTGCGCCTGTGCCCTGACTGGTCCATGGGACGATGCTCCAACCAACCGAGCCCCACCAGCCGGGGCCACGTGCTGAAGCCCCTGAGTTGTGAGAGTTCCCTGTCCTTAGACTCAGCAGAAAAAAAACAAATATCGCCAGTTCTCCAGAAGTGCCCCTCGTGGTGTGGCTCGCCTTTAAGTTTGAAACTCCAATGTCTCCAAAACAAACAAAGCACAGAGAACCCCGACATAATAGCGAGGAGCCAGCCCAGGGGAAATCCCTGGGGCTCCCGCATTCACCCGCTGTGCCATCAGAAAAACACCCCAAGCAACTTCCCGCAGTATCTCAAGGCCCAGCGTTGGTGACGTCTCGTCTCGGTGCAACAAAAAAGGTTGAGGTCTGGTCAGTGTTAATGTGAGCTGGTCAGTGTCCTCACCAGTCACATGTTCCCATAAAGAAGGTTAGAGCCCGGCCAGTGTGGCTCAGTGGTTGAGCGTCAACCTTTGAACCAGGAGACCACGGTTCGATTCCCGGTCAAGGGCACATGCCCGGGTTGCAGGCTCGACCCCCCAGTGTGGGGCGTGCAGGAGGCAGCCGATCAAAGATTCTCTCTCATCACTGATGTTCCCTCTCTCTCCCTCTCCCTTCCTCTCTGAAATCAATAAAAATATATTTACAAAATAAAGAAGGTTAGAGCTGAAGGGACCGGAGCTCATCAAGACCAACCCCCGCCCACCCGGGGGGAAGGTGGGAGCCTCAGTGGGCACACGACCTGCCCGCTCACAAAGGCCGGCCTGAGCCTGGAACTCCCGCCCTGAGTTCGCTCGTCCCCGCCGCGTCCCTGGACTCCCTGCGCAGGCTGAGGGGTCCCTACAGGCAGACAGGCGGGAGGCCATCCTGCCGTCCCTCCCTCCCCCAGCCCCCGCCCCCGCCCCGCGGGTGCTGGCCCTGGGACACTGTCATGGACGCGCTGAGGGGGGCAGAGGGTGGGCTGGGGCCCTAAGCCGACCTCTCCCAGAGCATTTCGCTCCCTCCCATTCGTTTTGACACGCAGCAGGGGCAGCGACCAGGGTGTGCCCACGGCGGACGCCGACGCAGATCCTGGGGCGTGGAGACAAGCCCTTCCTATCTCCAGAGCTAACGATTAATCCAGGGTAAACAGGCGAGGGCACATCTTCCTGCCCCGTCCAGCTGTCACTGGGCAACGCTGTGCCTTCCCCCCCCCCCCGCCGCCCCCCTCCCCCCACCCCGGGACCTCGCTGGCTCTGCGGATCCTTCGTCCTCTGTGTGACCAGCCGAGAGCGGCTGGGCCCCCACAGTCAGGGAGGGTCCTGGTGGACTGGGGCCGCCGCAGCCAAACAGCTGCTCAGACTTCAGATCTTGGGTTCTAGTTGGAGTTCATGTCCCTCCTTCGTAGGCCCACCCTCTCCATCCTACCAACCCACAGATTAGCATTAACCAATCAAAACAGCTCCCGTGACTGAGCCCCTGGTGGCAGGCACGAGGCCCCGCCTGACACGTGTGCAGAGGCGCACACATCCGCCCACTGTCACCAGCGTGTGGCAGTGGCTCACTCCGTTCCCACGTGAGCACAGACAAGAACCCCGCCCTCCACACAAGGATAGAGCGTGAAAGCAGGAAGCTCACAGCCTGCAAGCGGCCGCCGGGATTGGTTCCCATTTGTGCATGATTGGTTTTGGTTTAATTTACCTACTGCTTACTTCAAAGGAGAATTTCAGGAACCGGATCAGGTGATATTAAAAAGAATAAAAAGCCTCTGTGCTAAAGGTGTTTTGGACTCTCCCAGGGGTCCCCTAACCCCTGAATCCTATGCACTCATGCGATGCAGGGCTATATGGGGAGGCCCCCCAGCCCTGCAGCCCCACTGTGCCCTAGCTTCACATGATGTGACACCACCTGGCACAGAACTTCCAGACAGAAAGACCCCCTGATCTGGACGAGGGTGAGCGAGCAGGCTGGGCTGGCCGTGGGAGGGCGGCTCACCTCGTTGAAGTCGCCCACTCTGGGGATGTGGTTCTTCCTGGTCTTGCCCAGGACGGCGCCGGAGTTGGAGATGACGACGGCCGTGTTCCACAGCACGTCCCCGTGCGCTCCGTCCCGCTCCAGGATGGGGGAGACCACCACCATGTTGTGCTTCTTCGCCAGCTGGGAAAGGGAAAGACGGGGCCCAGTCCGACTTTCCAATCAACGGCCATGGGTTCCTACTGAATAATTCAGCGCTTCTTCCAGATAACGGGCCTCGGTTCAGAGCCAGCACTTGGCGTTGGGAGGACGGAATGCCCGTGCGGCCCTGAGGCCCGAGCTCAGGGACACAGGTGCGATTGCTGTCCTTGTGCACTGCTGGGGGGAATGTGAAATGGCGTGCCCTTGTGCAAACAGCACGGCGGTTCCTCAAACATTAAAAACATGGAACTACCACAGGATCCAGCAATTCCACTTCTGGGTGGAGCCCCAGAACATGGAAAGTAGAGTCTCGAAAAGCTATTCGCACCCCACGGTTCACAGCAGCACTATTCACCACAGCCAAAGGGTGGAGGCAGCCCCAGTGCCCACCTGTGGGTGAAGGGCATGGCCACACCATGGAGAACTATTCAGTCTTAATAAGGAAGGGGATTCTGACAGACGCTACAACATGGGTGAACCCCGAGGACATTGCGCTAAGTGAAATAAGCCAGTTGCAAGAGGACAAACACGCACTGTGTGAGACCACTTCTGTGCAGGGTCTACCGCAGTCAGACTCGGAAGCAGAAAGTGAAACCGCAGCTGCCAGTGGCTGCGGGTGGAGGGGAGGTGTTTAATGGGAGCCGAGTTTCAGATTGACGAGATGGGAAAGTTCTGGAGATTTATTCACAGCACAATGAGTGTATATGTTGAGTTGGACACTTAAATAGAATTAAGATGGTAAATTCCATGTTATGTGTTTTTAATACAATAAAAAAATAAAGGAATAATCATCTTACTTTGTATAGATATTCATAGAAAGGCTCTCTGATACTGAATTCCTTTGTCTCAAATAAGAACATCATCAGGACCTGATGACTGGTGGGATGAACAGCCCCAGCCTATCATTTGTCTTCAACTCTAGCCAATCATTTATCTTCAACTCTTAATTAGCCAATCATTTGTCTTCGACTCTAACTAGCCAATCATTTGTCTTCAACCCTAACTAGCCAATCATTTGTCTTCGACTCTAACTAGCCAATCATTTCTCTTCGACTCTAACTAGCCTGCCATTACCTCTGGCCTTAAAGACAGGAGGGAGGGAAGGCACAGGGGTGGAAGGCGAAGCTATGAGCCATACAGTGGTGGCCATGCGTCCCCAGGCCCTTCTCCATGCAGACGGGTGTCCCCTGGTGCCATTTCTCATTCCCACTCTCCCTTTCCTCTTCCTCCAGCCCTGGTGCAGGCGTGCCAGCTGCAGTCGCCTCCTAACCAGCCCGGCACTCTTTCCTCCCACAGCCTAGAATCAACCGCTTGGTGACTGAGAGATTCCGCCCCCCGCCCCAATAGCCTCAGAACACTGGTGCTTGGAATCACAACGAGGTATTGACAGATTCACCGTGATTTCAGTTCTGCTCGGAAAACCCCCCAAGACACGTAGACACTCCGGAACGGGATGTGGAGGAAGGAGAGGAGTTCTTTTCCATTGGGAATGAAAGGCATTTGGCCTCTCCTGTGGGGATGAGCTCCTATCTGTAACCTCTGCACCGTAAGGGCGCCGGGCGTGGCAGTTTCACGAAGATCCCATTCCCAGAGCATAAAACCCATTCTTTCACAGCGTGCCCTTCGGTGGTCTTCAGTGCACGCTCAGAGCTGTGCGGCCGCCACCACAACCTAATGGTGGCGCATTCTCACGACCTCAAGTGGGAACCCCAGACCCAGTAGCAGTCGCTCTCCACCCCCTCGCTGTCCAGCCCCGGGCAACCACTAATCTGCTTTCTGCCTCTGTGATTTGCTTATTCTGGACATTTCATATAAATGAGACCCTACAACACGTCTTATGAGGTTTTAATCAAGAAAAATGAAGGCCAGTTTCTACAGGGAGGAAGGCGGGGCACGCAGAGGGGCTTACATAACCCAGGCAGACAGCAGGCGACGAGCGGAGTGCTGGACAAGGGTCCACTTTGTCCCTGGCCCCCACGTGCCAGCTCGGCCGCGTGCCGCTACAGAGCCTGCCACAGGGTCACCCGGGTCACCCCCCCTCCCCTGGCTGAAGCTCCCTGACCTGAAAAAGCCATTAGGGGCTCTTCTGGCTCCGAAACGCCATGATTTTAAGGGAAAGTACCACTTTTATCAAAGGACAGTAAGGAGCCTTATCTAATCTGAGCTGGCAAAACAAGCAGCAGGCAGGTGCCTTCCCCTGGCGAGGGCCACGCCCAGCAGCTGTGGCCTCGCTCGGCGCCCCGCACGTGTCCGGCAGCTGATGCCAGGGCAGCAGGTGGTGTCCTACCTTCTGGCAGAATCTGGTGGTGGGCCCGTCCTCGGCTGACTCGGCAAACTCCGTCCACGGGAGCTTCTCTCTTGTGCAGAACGCGAAGGGCATGGCTGCGAGAGGAAAGGTCGGCATCACACGCCGTGCTCAGGGCCTCTGCGGGGCTCGTGGCCTGGCAGCAGGGGGTCCCCACAAGAGCACGCGGCCCTGAGTGCCTCGGGCTGGCTTCCAAGTCTCCCCGCGCCCCCCTTCCCCCGCCCCCGCTATGGACAAAGGACAGACCCTAAGCTTTCGGGTTTCATAGCAAAACGAGGCGAGGCAGATGCCTCACCAACAATCGCAGCACAGACCTTGAACAGACATCTACCCTCCGTGTCACAGCAGCATTAGTCACAGGAACGGAGAGAGGGGAGCCCCTTGAAGGCCCACAGATGGAGGAACGCTAGCTGCACCGGTTACTGATGTGGAGTTCTTCCAATCGATGGAGTTACACGTATGCTGACATACATGCCATGTGATACGTGTGCTATTATGTTGTATGGACAACAAGCTTCCAAACTTCATATGTCACATTTTCTGAAGGCGATAACATCACAGATATTTTTACGCTTAAAAATGTCTAGTTTCGTGCCAATAGGACTTTCTCAGCTCCAAGCTCATCTTATGGGACCGCCGTCTGCACGCGGTCTGCCGCCGATGGAAATGCCAGGATATGGCACACGGCTGCGTTCCTATGCTCTCTGGCCAGACGCCCCCCGGGGCTAATTCAATAGGGAATTTCATTAAACGCACTGACTTCTGTTCGCTCTCTTTTCGGATAGTGGGTGCGTAGGTATGCAGCGACAGTTCAAAGAACACTGCATACCAGGCTCAAAGTGGTGGTTTCCGCCCGGCCGGCGTGGCTCAGTGGCCGAGCATCAACCTATGCACCAGGAGGTCACGGTTTGACTCCCGGTCAGGGCACAGGTCCGGGTTGTGGGCTCCATCCCCAGTGTGGGGCGTGCAGGAGGCCGCCAATCCATGGTTCTCTCTCATCACTGATGTTTCCATCTCTCTCTCCCTCTGCCTTCCTCTCTGAAATCCATTTTTTAAATAAATATAAAATTGCAGGGGAGGAGAGGCACCGCGATGGGGCTGGACCCCGGGGCCTCTGGCTGCGTGTGTTCCATCCCTTGCGGCCTGAGCCACACTCTTCAGGACCTTCCCGTCTAATGGCGTGAACCTGCCGGTGGTCCCTGGCCTTCTGCATGTGTCCCCTAGGCCGTCTTGTTCGTACCCTTTGCCCACTGAGCCGTCTGTCTGTCTGTCTTTCTCTTCTTGGACAGTTAAAGTCTTTGGACAAACTCCATCCGCCCTGTAGATCTGCCCTCTCCTGATAACCGAGTTCATGTCTCTCAGGGAGATGAACCCAGCAGGCCTTCCCGACGCCTGCTGTCTGGCGCCCTGTGGGGAGGGGTATGGGTAGCTGTGTGATGTGACTGGCCAGTGATTTAACTGGTTGCAACCTGTTAGGGGTGATCATCGTCATCGTCAACCTTCCCGGAACACAGGCCACGTGCCCAGCACAGTGCCACGCCCAGTCATAGGCAGCCTGTTCCCAGACACCCCTGCGAAGCAGACCTGACCCTCCTCACCCCACAGAGAAGGGAGAGAATCGTTAGCATCCCCACTCCTTCCAGGCCCAGGAAGCCTGGGACGAAGATGGTGTCAAGGGCAAAAAGGTCACCAGCGGCACCGCCACCCTCTCAGCAGCCAGGGGTGGCGGCCAGGGAGGTGCCTAAGTGGGCGCCAGGCTCTGCCAGCAGCAGCCCGGTGGGGCCTTGGCAGCAAGCTCAAGACTCCCCAGGCTCCCCTTCAGCGAAGACAGATGAACTGTGTGGAGGAAGCCAACAGAGGAGCTGTTGACAGCAAGCCCCGTCCTTAATGAGCGTTCCTTCTCAGCTTTCAGAGCATTAGGGGCGACTCAGCGCCCCCAGAGAATAACACCTCCCTCCCGATTTCATTTCAGATGGAGGCGCGCTCCCAATTTCTCCGTCTCCACTCTTCCCATTTTAATGGCTTCGTTTCCTGTTTACACAACCACCGCCATGTAAACAAACTTTCAAAAGAAGGATGTGGAACGGAGGAGGGGGAGGCTGGCTGGAGGGGAAGGGGGTTCCCCATTCATTGAACCAACACTCCCTGAGTCAGGCTGTGAGCCGAGAGCTGGCCCTGCGGCAGGAGCTGCCGCCTAAACAGAGCAGCTGGAGGGTAACCCGGTGCGGCTGCCATGACGCCACCGAATGCCCCGTTCTGTGTCGGGGTGTCCCCAGGGCCCCTCGAGGAGGAGGTGCCTGTGCGAGGCCGTGATGGATGAGTGGGAGTTTTCCAGATCCAGCAGAGGGGAGAGAGTTGGTTAAACCACCCATAACTATTTTTTTAGTGTCTGTCATATACCGGGATTGTTCGAGCCACTGAAGAAAAACACGGAGTGGGGGAATGAGTAAACAACACGTGGGCTATCGTACAATGAAATAAACAAGCGACACTCAGGCTGGCCTCGCGGGGCTTGGAGTCTAAGGGAAGAGCCAGGAAAATCGGAAGTGACGTGCAACCAGAAATGTGAAAAACTTGAGAGAGACGCCTGGGTACAGATGGCAGACTGGACTTGCACCGTGACTCTTTCCTGACACCCCACCTGCATGTCAGTACAGGGATTTTTATGTGAGGGTAGAAACCGCCACGGATGGGCACTGGGAGAGGGTCAACAGCCACAACACAGGAGGCTGGAGAGGACATCTTGGGGGACTGAGAAAACGGAGTCCCTCCGGCCGTGGAGGAGCCCAGGAGGCACCCTACCCTTCACCACAGGCCCCTCGAAAGCTCAGGAGCCAGAGGCGCCGCGTAGCTCTGAAGGTCGGGACGCAGGAAGGGGTGACAAACAGGAAGGATCCGTGGAAAGTCTGTTTAAGAAGCAGTGGGAGGCCCAGATCCGTCCTCTACTAGAAGAGGCTGGGATGCGCCCCGCCCGCCCCTGCACAAGGCCACGGGCTCATTCTCCAGAGAGAGAGATAGGCAGAGGGCCTCAGGCCCTGGGGAGACCAGGACAGAGAACAGCACAGTGTCCAAAGCAGAGGGAGTAAGTAAACATCAGCGTTCTGGACCCCTGTTCTCCTTCTCTTCTTGGCAGGGGATCAGAGGGATCCTCTCCGAGCATCTGACCGGTCTGCAGAGAATGACCTGGAGACAGTGCCGTGGGGGATTGCATAACCAACAGCGAAACTGGGTCATCCTCCCATGAAGCTCGGTGAAGAAACCCGTCCTACAGACTCAGAGACTGCAATCAGCTTGTTCACCCCCAGGTCTTAAAATAGAGTCCATCAGGGGCGAAAAGACCAAAAGGAGTAAGAAAGGACTATGTAGGAAGAAAAAAAATACCACTTAATATCTTCAGAGATAAGAGAAGATAGTGCAATTATAAAATAAAAACAGGATGTGATAAAAACGGAACTTTCAGACCAAAAGAACTCTGATAAGGTCAAAATATGAGAGAGCAGAAACCAAAGACTAAATAGCAGGCTGAATGCCAAATTAGATAAAATCTACCAGAGAATTGAGGGGGGGGGGGGGGAGACAGAGATGTAAAAAAAGCACAAAACGAAACATTAAAAAAATAGGGATTGAGCCCAGAGTTCCAATATCCTAATAGCAAGAGATCAGGAAGAAAGCAGAGAAAAAAGGAGGGGAGAAAATCACTAATGAAACAATGTAAGCACATTTCCTAGATTTGAAGGACCCAAATTTCTAGACTGAAATAACCCATGGAGTGCTTAGAATAGTGGATTAAAATAAATACAACAGCACGTCACTATGCAATTTCAGAGTATTAGAGAGAAAGAGAAGCTCCTACAAACTTCTGGAGAAAACTACCTGAAGCCAGAAGACCATGGAGCAAGGTGTTTAAACTTCTGAAGGAAAATGATTGCTGACCTAGAATTCTATACCCAACCAAACTATCAACCAAGCCGTAGGAGAAACATATTTTCAGATGTGCAAGTTCCCCAAAAGGTTGCCTCCTGTGTGTTCTTTCTCAGGGAACTGTAGTGGACCCTGAAAACACAGGGGTTAGAGGCAACAACCCCTCCAGCAGCTGAAAATCTTCATGTACCTTTTGATTCCCCCAAAACTTAACGACTGATAGTCTATTGCTGACTGGAAGCCTTACCGATAATGTAAACAGCCGATTCACACATATTTTGTGTGCTATATGTATTATATACTGTATTTTTACAATAACGTAAGCTAGAGAAAAAGAAAATGTTATTAAGAAAAGAAAAAATATATTTACAGGATGGTCCTACGCTGTTTATTTATTGATACTGTAAATTTAGGTTGTCTGTGTAGATGAAAAAAAAATCATGTATAAGTGAACAATCACAGGTCAAATCTACGTTATTCAAGGATCAACTGTACTCCATCTAAATGAATGAGCAAACCAAGAAAGAGGAAAGCGTGGGATGGGAGAACACAAGAGCGCGGCAAAGGGACTCCCCAGGATGACAGTGATGGGGAACCCCAGGACGACCCTGGCCAGCAGAGGGGACCCCCAGCTCAGACCCGAGAGAGTCAGAAGGCCACGGGCCACGTGCCTTCCAGGAGATGAAACCATCAGACAGCTTTAGGAAACTGGCAGAGAGCTGGGGGAGAATTTGCGGCAAGGACACAGAACACAAAGCCAGTCCCAGGGCAAACAGAAAGCTGTCCAGGGAAAGAAGCCCAGGGCACAAGGAGCCCAGCTGAAGGCGATTACAGACGCCACTGTGACGGGGCCTGGGCAGTGCTGAGGCGGAGGGGCCCTGGCCAGTTGGGCCCAGTGGACAGAGCGTCGACCTGCAGACCGAAGGGTTCCAGGTTCCATTCTGGTCGGGGGCACGTACCTCAGTTGCAGGCTCCTCCCCGGCCCTCTCCCACTCTCTCTAAAACTCGGTGGGAAAATATCCTCGGGTGAGGATTAACAAGAGGAGGAAGTGAAAACCGATTCAGAAGGATTTGGGAGGAAGAACTGATAGGACCAAGTGACAGACGGGGCGTGTGAGAGGGAGGGAGAGAGGCTGGGCTTCCTGGGTTCCTGGCTTTGTTGACAAAGAAACTTTCTATGGATGAGAAAAGAAAGGAGACTTTTTAAAAACCATGGAGCAGGCCCTTATCAACATGGAGATAACGCAGTATTGCCCGAGGGCGGCTGAGAAAACTCCCCCCCCCCCCCCCCCCCCCCCCCCGCCCCCAGAGACTTACTCCAGGCCTCCTGGAAGCAGATGATGTTGACTCCGCACATCGCAGCCACCTCCACGATGGCCTCTATGCGCCTGTGAAGGGCGGAGACCTGGCAATTTAAAAATCGAGGATTAGGGGAGCACGTGAGACCTCGCTTCCCTCACAATAAACTCACAAAAGTTCTCTACAAACGTGGACGTTTCTTACATCGACATATGCTGGCAGGATTTAGGTATATGTATTTCAGAGAGGAAAGGAGAGGGAGAGATAGAAACATCAATGATGAGAACCATTGATTGGCTGCCTCCTACACACCCCCTCCTGGGGATCCAGCCCGCGACCCGGGCACGTGCCCTTGACTGGAATCAAACCTGGGACCCATCGGTCTGCAGGCCGACGCTCTATCCACTGAGCCAAATCGGCTCGGGCTGCTGGCAGGATTTTAAAGAAGCCTGCCCAGGACCACCCCGCAGGCCCAGACTCGGAGCTGGGTACCAGCACGGGCCCCTTGTGCCCCACCCGGCGTCAAACTGGGTGAACTTGGAAAGGACATCAAATAAAGACACTCTCCAACCTGGTTGGAAGGGACTGTATCAGGCACCCGACCTGAATGGACCCCGAACCTTGCCTCTGCCCACAGGGGCATCGAAGGCTCCTCTAGGATGAGAAGCTGTGGGCGCCAGAGGTAGACAGCCACCCCAAGGCACTGACGAGGCCTGTGCACACACCTACGGATTGATGTTGAACCCAGAAACTATTGTTTGTCTTTCTCTGCCTGCTAATGATATTAGCCATAATACTTATATTTGTTCATTGGGTTTTTCTATGTAATCCAACTGTTTAGGGTTACTGGACACGTGTGTATCAGATAACTGTTAATGCTCTTGCTATGGCTTATGTAAATGTTATACTAGATGCAAAATACAGAAAAATGAGACAGACAGCAAGACTCGGATCATGATGGTTCCCGGGAGGGAAATGATCTCGAGTGCTGTCTTCCATGTACCTGCCCTTGTCCTTTTGGGGGAAACTCGGCCTCAACTCACATTCCGTGGTGACGGGACCGCCCCGTCCCCAAAGGTCAGCGAGAGGATGTTGACACTGAGACTTCCTAGGAATGAGACTTCCTAGAGCTGAGACCGCACTATCCAAGCCGGAGCTGGTCATCAGCGCCTTCTTCCGACCGCCTTCCGACCGAAAGGGGGAACTGAGGACAAAAGGGGCTCTGTGGGAAGTGACTTCACGGGGCGGTCTGATCACAAACCCTCACTGGGCAGGTCCTGTGGGCAGTCACTCCTCAGGCCTGCACCTTCCCCGGCAGAAGGTTGTCTTTGTCGTAAGCAAGCCCTGCACCCTGCCCTGGTCCCCGGGCATCTAGGTGAGCCCGTCTTTGAAAGGGCCCTCTCCAGCCGAAACCGGTTTGGCTCAGTGGAAAGGGCCCTCTCCGACCGCTCAGAAGCGGAACAGCCCTCCGTAGAGCGTGGAAACTTGGGGACCACCCTGACGTCCAGCGCCTGCCTTGCTCCCCCCCCCCCGCCCCGCCCTTCTCATGTGACCCTCCTTGCATTCCCCCCTTAGTTTCCAACACCCAGAATACACTGCAGACTGCTCTTCTCGGGGGCAAGACTTGCGATTTTGCTTCCTGGCAATGTTATCAGTTTGGGCTCAAGTAAATTTATAGAAATTCCCTACAAATAAATAAAACCCGGGGTGAGAGCACAGGCGTTCCAGTGGTGGCGACCCTTGTAGAACTCCTCCCAGCCCACTGGAAGCCACAACCCCCACCGGCTCAGCTGCTGGAGGGCGAGCAGGGTCGGGAGGCTCTGACAGCGCATTGTCATCAGGCCCAAAATCTACACGGAAAGGGGGAGCTACAGAGGCTCTGGGGTCCCTTGCACCCTCGCTACGGCCTTCCTCAGCCTCGGTTTACTTGACTGGAGAATGGGGAGAACGCTGCCTGTCTCCTGGGGTTGCCTTGCTATGAGGATGGTGGTTACTGCAAGATGGGGGGGGGGGCACCCAGTGGGCCTACCACACACAGGACATCCCCTGGTTTAACCGTTCCCTCGCCCCAGGACACAGTCCACTCCCCCCCCACCCCATCCCCATCCCCACCCCCGCCCCAGTCCCGCGTTCCAGGCTTCAGGAAAGCCTCATCCTGCCACTTCTAAACTTTATTTATTTGTTTGTTATCCTCACCCGAGGATATTTTCCCATTGATTTTTAGGGAGCGTGGAAGAGAGAGGGACACACAGAGAGGAACATTGAAGTGAGGGAAGCACATCGATTAGTTGCCTTATGCACGCACCCCGACCAGGGCCTGGGCCGGGGAGGAGCCTGCAACCTGACCAAGGTATGTGCCCTTGACCAGAATCGAACCCGGGACCTTTCGGGGTCCACAGGGCAATGCTCTATTCACTGAGCAACACTGGCCAGGGCCTGCCACTTCTATTCTCCTGTGTGTAGCTCATCATTGAATGACTCGCTTTCTCAGCCGTGCCTGGGGCCAGGAATGTGCTTTCCCCTCCCCTCCGCCACCCGCCCTGGCTGAGCTCTCCGTGTCACATGTCACCCGCCGAGGGGAGCGTCTCCCGGGAGTATCGAGGTGCCCCTGCGGTGGAGCGGTTCCCATTGCGCCGTCACATCCCTCCACCGCCTGTCACTCCCATGACCCCAGGAGGGGAGTGTCCCCACCTTCCCTGCGCCCTCAGCACCATGGCTGGCTCCCGGGAGACGCTTCCGAAGCAGCTGAACACCAGCGAGCACAAACTCGTCACGGCGCTCTCCCTGCAAGCCTCGCACCCCGGCCCCATGGATGTGTGCCAGCACCCCTGCCCCTGACAACCTGACAACCTGGGACCGTCAAGGAGACATGTTGACAACCAACTCATCTGAAAATCGGAACCCTTTTAATCCAACCAAAGCAGAGGAAGGCCCGGCCGGCGTGGCTCAGCGGTTAAGCGCGGCCCATGAACCAGATCAGGGTGCTATTCTGGGACAGGTCACCTGCCCGGGTTGTGGGCTCGATCCCCAGTGGGGGGCATGCAGAAGGCAGCCGATCCATGATTCTCTCTCCTCATTGGTGTCTCTCTCTCTCTCTCTCTCTCCCTCTCTGAAACCAATAAAAATATATTAATATTAATAATAATAATAATAATAATAATAAAAAGCAGAAGAAGAACCGATGTGAGGACAACACAGAAACCCAACCTGGAACCCGGTTGATCCCCTGTGTCTCGAGGACCCTAAGGAACCCAGCACGCGGCAGCCGGAGGCGCCTGTGCCGAGCGAGCTGGGAGGTTGGAGCCCCGGGAGGAAAGCGGGGAGGACGTGCACACAGCACCCCGCCCGCCGGCGCCAACAGGTTTCTTTAGGGAAGAAACCTAAAGAACCAGCTGTCCCGTGGAGAGGCCTCGTAAGCAAACGCCGATGACATCCCGCAGCCCGGCGGCACCCTCAGCTGACAGACACCTGGGGACAGCGAGTCCCAGCCCGAGGAACAAGGCGGAGGAACAGGGGACAGACGGGCGGGTCCTGACTGGTGCGTGCTGGCGGAAGGCTGAGAGGCGGAGTTCCGTGGAGAGTTCGAACCAGCCATGAGGGCACCATCCCCAGGGGAAAATGGAGCCATAGATCAACGGCAGAAGAGGAAGCAGAGGTGGAGGTGGAAAGAACCATGAGAAGCGAGAGGAAGGCAGAGGAAGGGGAGGAGGCAGAAGAAAAAGGAGAGAGGGAGAGGGGGAGAGGGAGGGAGGGAGGGAGAGAGAGAGAAAGAGAAAGGAGAAGAGAAGAGAAGAGAAGAGAAGAGAAGAGAAGAGAAGAGAAGAGAAGAGAAGAGAAGAGAAGAGAAGAGAAGAGAAGAGAAGAGAAGAGAAGGGGGCGGCTAGGGCAGAGGTGTCCAGGCACTTGATGGACCTGCTGGCCCAGACCAAGTGGCCAGCAGGGGGCTGTGGATGCGTCCAAAACACAGAGCGGGCCCGGCCCGTGTGTCTATTTAGGGGCAAAGCAGCCGCACCTGCTTGGCCACAGGGGCCTCCGCGGGCAGGGGGATCCTGTTCTGCACAAGCCCCACGCGCACGGTCCGCGGGCCCCGCAGCTGCTCCTCGGCCGCCTCGAAGGCGTATCCCTGCAGCTCAAAGTCCCCTTCAGCGGCGCATTCCAAAGCCTGGCTGGGCAGGTCGAGCTTCCTAAATGGGCAGAAAGAAGAGGGGAGAGATCGGCATGCGCTGATTTACAATTCCCCGGCCCAGAGGCATTCACCAGCAGGGAAGAGGTGACGTGCCCTGGCAGGCAGGCACACAGAACCCGGCCAGCGTGCCTCAGTGGTTGAGCATCGACCTATGAGCCAGGAGGTCAGGGTTTGATATCCCGTCAGGGCACATGCCTGGGTTTCGGGCCCAATCTCCAGTGTGGGGTGTGCAGGAGGCAGCCGATCCATGATTCTCTCTCATCGTGGATGTTTCTATCTCTCTCCCCCTCTCCCTTCCTCTCTGAAATCATTAAAAATATATATTTAAAGAAAAAAGAAGGCACACAGAGCAGTCCAATGGCAGAGCGCACGGGTGGGGAGCTGGAGTGGGGCCTGGAGAAGTGGGAGGGCCTGGATGCCTGAGAACGGACAAACGGACATGGCACTGAGTGTGGACTCAGGCTGATGGTCATTGGGGACATTCCAGCAGGTGGCAGAAGTCAGACCTGGTCAAGGGAGGCTGGGGGGCGGGGAGGGGAGCGGCAGGGAGACTGGTCAGAAGCTGGTGTTTTGGAGTCGCTGAAATCAGGGTGCAGATGAGTCTCAGCAACCAGCACAGGAGCGAGGGAAAGGATCCCCCCAAAATGCCTGTGGACTAGACTCAGAGGTCTCTGCTGAGCCTGGGGGAGGTTCGCTGTGATGAGAGGGGGCTGTTGAGAACCGGGCTCAGGAAACAGCTGGGTGGGGACTGAGAGCAGGACAGAGGGCCCTGCGGCCCTTCACCACCGAGGACTGCACGTCTCCCGGGATCCCCACCGACCGTCTGCTGCTGCTCCCGCGGGGGGGGGGGGGGTTGGGGGTTGGGGGAGCGGGTCGGGGGGGCGGAGACGATCCCTCGCTCACTGCTGGGTGGGCCTGGCGAGGGCCCACATGTCCAGGCTGAAGGCCCGAGCGCCCTGGTTTGTGGCTTATTAGCCAAGGCCAGTGGATGATTTACGGAGCCTCCCACCGGAGTGACCGTTGGCCCCGTGGCAAACACCTCCTCGGCCTGCGTCGCGCTCGGTGCTGGGGTGAAACCCACAGGGGCACGAGGTGTGGCCCCGGCCGGGCTGGCCTTGCCACCTGGGGACGCGATGGTTATGAAATACCCAGGGAACACATCAAAAAACAACCTGACAGCCATTATCTAATAATAATATTTCCCTCCCACCTGAAGTCACTTTCTTCAAGATGTTTCTTTCAAAATCACAGGCCTGTCAGCCCAGGCCCCTGCCGCCGCCCCCTGCCAGGCAGTTCCCACATGACAGCCCTGACAGCTCCCGAGACGGGCTCCGCCCCTGACAATCAGTTCCTTTCGCTTCGCAGGTTAGAAATAACAGCGGTGCCCACACCTCGCCCCCTTCGCCGTGACTGCCTCAGAGACGGCCCTTCCCTCTGCCAAGGGGCCCCTCCATCCCGCAGGCTCAGCCCCAGGCCCAGGCCCCGTGGTGGACGGAGAAGGAGACCGAGAAGGGAGTTCTGCGTCCCTCAGGCCCACAGGCACCACCTGTGGGGAGGCCCTGGCGCCCCGTCCTCAGCCTGCGGGCTCACGCCTGGAAGAGAGCAGGTGGAGGAGGTCTTGTCTCAGGTGTGCAAGCCCAGCGATAACCATCACCTGGATGACGTCCCTCCGCCTCTGGCCGTCTTTTCCGACCCACTGCCCACAGCTGTCTGCTCTCCCCGTCTTCCCACCACCACCTTCCTGCCTCCTCCAGTCTATGCTAAGACCTGCCTCCAGCCCTCAGTCCCTGCAGACACTCTCTCTCCTAGGCCTGAGGCGACGTGGGCCAGGCCCCTCCACTTTCTTAGGGTTCTACCTGTCCTCCACGTTCCCCTTCAGCAAGATGTCCCCGCCCTGGTGTTATCCAAGCCTTGGAGAACCCACTCAACCCTTGAGCCCCATTCCTTCAAAACATGGGCTGTGCCCACCGAAGGTGTGGCCTGGCGATGTGGTGGGGCACAGACCAGCCACCGCACCACCGAGGAAGGGCAGAGACCAGGAAATGAGCCCAACCTCACACAAGGCGGGGGGGGGACGGGGCAGGATCTGTGCTGCCCACACCTTCCCTTGGTCCCTATAGTTGGGGGTCTGCCCCGCCACCCCACATCCTGCTACTGAGGCCCCCACCCCTCGTGGGCTCGCCTCTAACCTCAAGGAGGAAAGCCCACCACTTCCTGTCCTGGCCCAAACACCTTCCAGGCCCTTCTCCTGGGCCCCTGTCTCTCCACCCAGGGTCCAGGCACGTCTCGCAGGGTGGAAACCAGCTCCCGCCTCCACAGCAACCCCTCGCGGAGAGCTTTGTTACAAAAGAAACACATGCTCATGGGAGGAAATCAAACAGTGAAAAACGAGCCCCGCTCCATCCTACCCCTCAGCCCCCGTCCTGAACTCCAGAGATAACCCACCTAATTTTTTTTTGGGGGGGGGGGAACCAAAACCAAAATGTTTGGTGGCCTGTTTCAACAAGGCTGAACCCCCCCCCCAAAACAAAACAAAACCCCCACAAACCTATTCTCATCCCTCGCACAGGAGCCTGAGGTGCCCCTTGCTTTAAGACACCCGGACGCCTTTGGGAGCCTCCGCGGTGGCGAGCCCTGACGGGTGCGGTGGAAAGCACACTGGGGGCCCTTGCAGGCCATCCCGTCCTGGCATCCTCTTTGGGGATGAAGCGGCCTTTGTTTGGCCAAGTTCTGTACCACGTCCACCCCCACAGGCAGCTGTTCTAGCTTTGTCATCCACCAGCAATGAAAACACCTTTGCACTTGAGGCCTGACCTCCCTGCAGCAACGCCCCAGCATGGCAGCTGGGACCCACCGACGCAATCCGCACCCTCAGGTTTCTGGGGAGCCGATCGGGCTCCCGCCTTCATGTCCCTGCCACGGTCAGGGAGCCCGCCAACTGGCAGGGAGGTGGAAGGACAGGTGGTCAAAAGCTGCATGGGGTCAGAGTTTGGAATTCATTGCAAGAGTCGTGGAAATCCCGCCTAGACCTTTAAGCCAGTGGTTCTCAACCTGGGCTGCACATTAGAATCAGCTGGGAATCTTTTTAAAATTCTGATTTCCGGGCCTCATCCTCTGGAAATTCTGTTTCTTTGTTACTAATGTTGTGGTCTCACCCCATAACAACAAAAAAAACACCCAGAATTTCCAGAGGATGAGGCCCGGAAATCATGATTTTAAAAAGATTCCCAGGTGATTCTTATGTGCAGCCCAGGTTGAGAATCGCTGCTTTAAAATATATATTTTATTGATTTTTTACAGAGAGGAAGGGAGAGGGACAGAGAGTTAGAAACATCGATGAGAGAGAAACATCGATCAGCTGCCTCCTGCACATCTCCTAATGGGGATGTGCCCGCAACGAAGGTACATGCCCTTGACCGGAATCGAACCCGGGACCCTTCAGTCCGCAGGCTGACGCTCTATCCACAGAGCCAAACTGGTTAGGGCGAGAACCGCTGCTTTAAGCGAAGGAGCAATAAGCTAGGATTTCCCTTTTCTGGCTGCTTTGAGACAAGTGGACTGGAGAGAACCGGGAGGGGAAGGGGCAGTGGCTTCCGGCTTTGTAGACGCGGTGTCCAGCAGGGCAATGCCCTCAGAAAGCCCAGGACTGGCTGCGAGTGGGAGAACATTTACACTGAGCAGTCACTGACCCGCACGGCTTGCCAAGTGGGGAGGGTTCCCTGACCCACCAGGTTCAGCAGGCCTCTACCTCCAGGGGACCTCGATGGAGGCCTCCCGGTCGGAGGGGCTGGGCAACCAGGTGACCTGCTGGGGCTCTGGCTGGAGGGACTGACCAGCACAGACACCAAGTACAGGGTCTGGCGAGAGTCCTGATCCCCGGAAGTGAGGAAGGAGAGTTAGGTGGCCACAGAGAAAGCCTCAGGGAGCAAAATACCCATCCTTTCCCTTCGGTTCCGGGCAACAGGGGGGAGAGTGGCTTGGAAAGGTCACGCCAGGCTTGTCTGGCCCCCGAGCGGCCCAGAGCCCGGGCTTCTAAACTCCTTATGGTCTCTGCTGGCCCCGAAGCGCTCTGCCTGGTCCCCGGGCCCACATTCCCCACACTCGCCGGCCCCAAGGTCCACCCCCGCCGCCAGCCTCTGGGCTCCAGACCTGGTCTCCTTGCCATAGAGAAGGCGTTTCACCTCCCTCAAGTCTGTGGGCGGCAGGTGCTTCTCCAAGCACTGCTCCAGCGACTCCCACTCAGGCTCCGCCATGACTGGAGATGTCCAGGCCCAAACTGCCTGCCCTTTACCCGCGGCGGGGAGCAGGAGGAGGAGAAGATGACCAAGTCCACAGACGTGCCCTCCCCTCCACGCTTCACGCTTCTGCCCCCAGACAGCTCCCTGAAGACACGCCCCTTTTGCGTGCCTTCTCAGCGCGCAGCCAATCAACGCCTCCAGAGCGTCCCTGGCGGCCCCGCCCCCTGCCCTTTGCACCGGACACGCCCCCTCCACCGCGGGACACGCCCCCTCTACCCTTCGCGCGTCCTTGGGCACGCGCCTGGACACGCCCCTCCTCACGCCTTCGCAGCGCGCAGCCAATCAGCGCTCCAGAGCTTCGCGGGTGGCCCCGCCCCTCCCTTCTTGCTGCACTCGCCGGACACGCCCCCCCACCATGGGACACGCCTCCTGCCCTTCGCGCCTCCTCAGGCACGCGCCAGGCCACGCCCCCTCAGCCGTGGGAGGCTTGCGGTCCGGTCCCCTCGCCCTCGGGCTCTCGCTCGCCTTCCGGTTCCGCCTCTCACCTGCCCCGAGGTGTCGGGGCGGGACGGGCCACCTGGAGAGGAGGTGAGGCGGGCTGCGCGCGGGTCTGAGGTGAAGGGCGGAAGGGCCGCTCCCCACCGCGACGGGGAAGGTGGCTCCGCGAGCCCTTTGTGAACGCCTCCATTCGAGCACTACCAGCCCCTATGGTGCACCTGCTCCTGAGCTCCGGGCGGGACCGGGGTCGGATCCGCCGGTGTCCGCGGGGCCGTGGCCCTCAGGGCGAGGCTGTCGGAGGAACTGGCTCTGCCGGGATCAGGGCAGAGTCATTAGGTGGCGACCTGGGAGCTGAACTTGGCCGGAAGTGGAACCTCATCACTAGTTCAATGGCTCCCTCACCTCTCCCTGCCGTCGGGTGGCGGGCCGTCGGGTGGCGGGGCGTCGGGTGGCCGGGCCGTCCGTGGGCGGGGCCGTCCGTGGGCGGGGCCGTCGGGGGCGGGGCCTGCGCGGCGCTGTCACCAGGGTTCCGCGAGCAGGAACCACCTACCCGAGAAGGACGGAGAAAGTCACAGGAAGGTGGTTGTATTTGCCCCGGTTCCTGTTCACTCTGAATAGGACACTTCGCTAGATCCTTCTGTGGCGACCGTTTTAGTTTATTTTTTAAAATACATTTTGATTGATTTCAGGAATGGGCATCCTGTGCTGACACATCATATTTTAAAAAGTCTCTAAGCAGAGGACACGAACCTTTAAACATCTGGGTGTCTGTTCTTCGGCTTTCCTTTATGTTTGCAATAGCTTATTAGAAATTATTTTATTTTTAAAAAAAGCCTTAGCCCTGGCCGGTTTGGCTCAGTGGATAGAGCGTCAGCCTGCGGACTGAAGGGTCCCGGGTTCGACTCTGGTCAAGGGCATGTGCCTGGGTTGCGGGCACATCCCCAGTAGGGAGTGTGCAGGAGGCAGCGGATCGATGTTTCTCTCTCATGATGTTTCTAACTCTCTATCCCTCTCCCTTCCTCTCTGTAAAAAATCAAATATATATATATATATATATTTTTTTTTTTTTTTTTAAAGGAAGAGCCTTAGAAACCCGGAGTCAGGAAATCTGCAGTGTCTTCTGGGTTCTAGCAGGATCTGTTGTCCTGTCGTAAGAAAGGAGGGGAGGAGAGGGGAGGGGAGGGGAGGGGAAGGAGAGGGGAGGGGAGGGGAGGGGAGGGGAAGGAGAGGGGAGGGGAGGGGAGGGGAGGGAGAGGGGAGGGGAGGGAGCTGGGAAGACGGTCAGTGCCCCGGGGGCGATTTAGCTATAACAGGTTCTGAGCATCTAGTCCAGCGGTTCTCAACCTGTGGGTCGCGACCCCTTTGGCGGTCGAACGACCCTTTCACAGGGGTCGCCTAAGACCATCCTGCATATCAGGTATTTACATGATGATTCATAACGGTAGCAGCATTACAGTTATGAAGTAGCAACGAAAATAATGTTATGGTTGGGTCACAGCATGAGGAGCTGTATTTAAAGGGCCAGAAGGCTGAGAACCACTGAATTCTAGTCACATAAAAATCCCTCTATTGACCCTCATCCGTAACAAAAGAGTTTCATGATGGAAGCTGGTTTCACGGGAAGAGCTCACTTGTTAGACAAGTGTCCGTGTCTGTTTCTACGTCGTGTGTCAGCGTGTCCGTTTTCATCCTCCGGGGATGGATGCGAGGGGCAGAAGGTGCGGTGGGCTCTGCCCATCAGCACGTGAAGGTCTGAGATGTATGCTCATCGTTGGGTGAGCAGTGCTCGCCGGGGCCGCAGCCTGGGGGTCCCCCGTCCTCGTTTCTCTCCTGAGCCCGAGGGGCTGCCGACGCCCTTGGTGGCATTGCACAGGTCACCAAGGCTTTTGCCTCTTCCTTGTCCCGTTTAATCCTCCCAGGAACCCTGTGAACTTGGGGGAAAGGCTCTCAGAATCTGTCGCATTTCCAAATTAAACATGACACTTGCTGGAAATGAGAATGTAGGAGCCAGTGTGGTCCGGGGAGAAAAGGTCTGCGGTGACCCAATTTCCAAGTCACCTGTCTAAAGGCCCAATTTCTGGGTTAACTTGCTTCTCTGCCGGCTGTTTCCCAGCTCGGAAGGTGCCGTTCCGCCCCTTTGGCCACCTTCTAATTAATGTCCCTTTAATGTGCACGAATCCATGCACTGGGCCTCTAGGAGACCGTAATACAGTTGTGAATATAAGACTTTAATTAATTGTCTTCGAAGTTTTATTTTTCACCTATGAATTGAACTAAATCCTGAATTTTCCTAATTTTCTTAAACATTTGACTTCAACCCTCCAAACGAATGTGTTCATTCTTCTCCCGTCCTTAGATTTGGAATTAGAACTAAAATATCTTTTTCCTTCCACCAGACCATTTGTCATAATTCTCACTGTTCTAGCTTTTGCCCTGATAATACGAACATTTATAACAGTTTGTCTCCGCCAGGTTACAAGCTCTGCTTGCACTCAGAGAGTACCACCTCTGGCACCACGGCCACCTCCCGTGCCCAGGCCTCATCGTCCCTCTGACAGAGAGCGAGGATCTCTTGGCTCTGAAGGAAAGCAGCTACAGGCAGCCCCTGAGCCCCTTTTCTCTGACAGATTTCAGAGCCAAGATCCTTAAGGGGGGACGTGGTGGGCAGTTCGACATGAACAGAGCGAGGACGCTGGGCCAGCTGCAGGAGGTCACCGCGGTGGAAAGCCCCGGGTGGGACCTCGCCCCCAGGGTGAGCCTCCTCCCCTAGAACATGGCCGGTCGTGGGGTTTGGACGCCCTGGCCTTTCCTCCCGAGAGATAACATCGAGGCCTCAGTTGTATTTCAGCTCCAGGCCCAGAAAAAGCAACAAAACCAGCCACAGCGGAGGCCAGGACCAGCTGCAGGGAATAATGACCCCGCCCTGGTGCCGGCCCATCAATCCGTGGAGACCACAACCTTGAAAGGACACACCTGGGAAGCTGCTGGGCCTTCTGCTGAGATCTTCCCCTGGGACCTTCCCTAAAATCTCCACCTTAAAGCCCTTAGGACTGAGACCCAAGTTTGTCAGTCCTCCCGGGAGCCTGTCCTCCCTCCCGGGAGCCGCCCAAGCCTTTGCCCTTTCCCTGGCCCCTCCCCTGCCCCGCAAGCACATTGCCATCACCTTCCTCCTTCCCAAGCCCTAAGAGAGCTGTCTAGAACTTGTTTCCTAGGTTTACCAAATAAATGTTCTCTTATTTAAAAACAAAATCTAAGAAGATTTTTTAAAAGCGGAGCCCAGCAGCCATTTCTGCACAGGGGCCTCTCAGCAGACGCCACTCCTCGGAGCAGCTCCTCTGTGCTGGGCGGCCTGCCTGCCGACGCACCACCTGCTCCCTGCACGCAGTCAGCCCTTTAAAGGCCTCCTAGAGCCCTATTCCAGCCACCAGGACGGAGGCGGCCCCTGTGCAATCGGATATGGGAAGGGGTCGTGCATCAGGGGTTTGTGTGTGTCCCACGGGGCCCTAAGGAGGGGAGCTGGAGTCAGTGGACAGAAGTCAGGCGTATTTCAGCCCAACGCAGTGATTTCCAGCAAGCGATCGAAAGATGGAATCGCACTGCCTCTGCAGGCGGTGAGCTCTCAATCTGGGCGTCCCAGTGCCGTCCGAGTGGCCACTTGGTGGGAGTGTTGTAGAAGGAAGTCCTCAGACGGGGAGCTGAGCCAGGATGTCGCTTTACTACGAACCCCCAAAACAGGGATGTTACGCCCAAAGAACCATAAGCGGACCACAGGGCAATCCAAGACAGTTTGGTGTGTAAATAAGTGAAAGTCAAGAAATGCGATCTTACTGAAAAACCAGGGAATAGGAGGGTTTCATTATTGTTCACATTATATTAGTAGTGCATTTGGTTGGTTTAAAACATTTTTTTTTTTTTTAGTTTTAAAAATTGATTCTCAGAGAGAGAGGAGAGGAGAGAGAAACGTCACACACACCCCAACCGGGGATCGAACCTGCAACCCGGGCCTGTGCCCTGACTGGAAATCGAACTGGTTCACAGGTCGACGCTCAACCGCTGATGTGCCAGAGCCTGTGCCAGGCGCCAGGGGTCAAGCAGGAGTAAGTCCTGTGCTTGTTTTCATAACCATAACGGCTCCTCGTTCTTGAGCACCTGCCACGGGCCAGGCACTGTGCTAGGCCTGGAAGTGACAGGTTGCTAGGGGACAGCGATGTGTTGTGAAGGGCAGGGGGGAAGGCTGGGTGTGGTTTGTATGGCATACCTAAGGCTGCAGACACAGCGCTTGCTCAGTGCTTGATAAACAGTGGCTGTGTTTACAATATTAGGTGATCCCGTCACCAGAAGTGCCACCCGGGTCCCGAGGCGACAGAACAAAACCTCTGAGCTAAAATGATGTGTGAAGGACACAGGCAGGTCAACCCGGGAAGAAGGAAAAGCAAGCCTGCAAGCAGAAAAAGGTGCCAGTCTGTCTGGAACACCCGCGTCCATAAAGGGCTGCCCCGCGCCAGCGTGTGCAGATAGGTGGAAGGTTCTAGACTAGAGACATGCGCGCCACGAAATGACTCCAACCCTGAAACCCTTTGCCCTGTGCACGGCAGAAAAATGATCGTGTGAAGTTGTAAAAACGGGAAGGATGAGACGAGCCTGGAAATTATCCAATTAAAGGAAGGAAGATTGCAGACTCGCTTCGTCACCTGAAGGGAGAGAGGAGGCCTTACACAACGGGAGGAGATGATCACATCGCTTAAGTGGGCATTGATCAATGTGTTGGGCAGGACAAGTGGAAATGTTTTTTTCTTAAATAATTCAAACCTGACAGAACCTGGCAAAAGAACCTAGCTATGATGATCAACTGAAAAAAAAAATAATAATTCAAACCTGCAGGCTTCCAACCCCGTGGAAGGTAGCAGAAAGGTCTGCTCCCTCTATAAAAACTTGTGGTGCCCCAGCGGCGAAGGAGGAGCATTTAAAGGAGAAATAAGTAGAACTCACTCCCCGTCTGCAGCTGAGAGCGATGAAGGAAGGCCCAGCTGCTAAGTACACAGTAGCCTTCAGCTGAACCCCTGGCGGAAGGAGAAGGAAATGCCATCCGCCTGCTGACCTGGAGGAGAGCAGACTTAAACCACATAATGACATTATCATTTTACATTAAGTAAAAATGTCTTCGAACGTTCAATACTTGTCAAAACCTCTGACATGTTTCCATGGCTGGTTGTTCATTTTTCCCCCGAACAAGTCGATAGAGGGCGCGGTGGGGGAGGCCCCTGAAATGGAAAGGGCACTACGGTTATGGGCGTGTTGATGGGATCCTATCGTAATCGTGCCGTCGGATAACGTTGTTGTCGTGGGGAAGCGGTGTGCTTATTCCATCGGAAGCGGCACGGCACAGCGTGAAGCCAGAGGTTCCTACCGTCTCCGCTGGCTGTGTATCAGTTTTATGGCCCTGGGCAAGCGACTTCGCTCTTCTGGACCTCCTGTTGCATAAGATGACGGTGCAGTACTTGCTGGTGTGGCTGCTTCAGGGATGAAATGAAAAGCAGGTCTGGGAGCCCGCGCTGGTTTGGCTCAGTGGATAGGGTGTCCGCCTGAGGACTGAAGGGTCCCGGGCTTGATTCTGGTCCAGGGCACAGGCCCGGGTCGCAGGCTCCATCCCCAGTGGGGGGCGTGCAGGAGGCAGCCAATCAATGATTCTTTCTCATCATGGATGTTTCTATCTCCCTCTCCCTCCCTCTCTAAAATCAATAAAAATGTTTTAAAAAGAAAAGCAGGCCTGTGAAACAATGAGCAGCGTGGCGCCCCACTCCGGGCAGGGGCGCCTTTCCCCACAGAGATGTTGCCACTCGGGGTGTTGGGAAAGCCCTTCTCGGAGCTGCTCAGCGTCTGTGGCACAACCTCTGTACCCGCCTTAGCGCTGGGCCGCGCACCCATGTCTGGGGTATGTTTTGTTTTGTTTTTTTTAGGTAGATTTTATTTTTGAAAAAAGAGAGAGAGAGAGAAGTTAACTGAGAACTAAGTTTATGGGTGACCAGGTTAGAGATGCTAAACAAAGTGTGATGATCAAGTTCGGATTCTAGATCCGCCCTGAAAGCAGCTCCAGTGGAAAAGTCCCAGAGACGTGCGGAGCAGAGCAGCCCTTTGGGGATCAGTGTGTGTCTCAACCTGGGCTCCGGCGTCGCACGCGCACCCCACTTCTGCGGAAAGGGTGGCCACAGGCGGAATTGTTAGCAGCGACTAGCAGAGCACGGGGCGCAAATACAACTGCGGAGACCCTGTAGGGGCCATGCTGCTGTCACCGAGCTCATTTAAATATTTAAACATCCTTTCTTCATACGCAGCTCCGGCCTGGGCACGGACAGTTTGAAGCGCCTCACTTCGAAAGCTCGCTCTGTTGGGCTTATTACGTTCTCCCGGAACGGAGCGGCCCTGCTCTGTCCCCACCTCCGTATCTCTCCAAACGAATGGATCTTCCTCTGATAACATCCTTCATTCCGTTTCCCAGACTTAGGAGCTTGTCTGCTTCATCATCCTGACATTAACCCTGTTGCTGTCATGCCTGCTTTTTGTCCTGCGTTTTCTGCCCTTTCCTGCTCGTACTGCCTGCACCGGCATCACCTCCCTCGCTGGCCGGCGCTTGGGCCGCTGTAGTAGCCAGGAAGCTACCGCCTCTGATGCAGGGCTGTTGTCCCCCAACAGAGCCTTTTTAGGTGAATACTTGTAGACGAATGTTCCTACAGTGACCCTTCCATCCTGTGTGTGTTTTTGTTACGATACTTAACACGTGGATTTGCAGGTAATTGTTCGTGAGGGGATAGTTGCACGCGTGTCTTTTTGAGATCTTCGACAGCGGGAAGGCTTGTGCGTATCTGTACTGGTAGTGCTTAGTACGGGGCCGTGCTCACCGCTGCGTGGCCCTGAGCCACAGTTCTTTAAGGGCCCGGGCCTCAGTTTCCGCATCTGTAAAATGGGGGTGAGGACATCTATCTCACAGGAGCATGGCATTAACAGAGAGTGCACGTGGAGATATTAAAAAGGAGTGTTTGTATTAGTCTAGCTTTTGTATTATTAGCACAGCGCTTTGTTATTCTGAGCAAACTCATTTTTTCCTGACTTTTGAGGACCTGTGTCTTCTGGCCCACTCGCCTCTAGGTGAGTCTCGTGCGCCCCAACATCGAAGGCCAGCAAATACTCTCCTTTTTACTGTGCATTCCACCCTGGAGCATCCCGCGCCTTCCACCAAGCCCTCACCCACCCACTCTCCTCTAAGGCCCCCAGGAGGTCTCCACCAGCCTCCACTCGCCCTCACCCCTCTCTCTCCTGAGCACCTCTGGCATTTAGAGCTTGTGTCCCGGTTTGGGTTCTTAATTGTTTCTTGTGTTTACTTTGTCTCCCCAAAAGGAACATGAGCTCCTAGGAGACAAGGAGCCTGCTCTGTTTCTCTCACCCCCCTTCCTGGGCTTGTGCAGACACACCCCGTCCATCGTGCATTCCTCTATGATGCCTCACGGGTGTTGCGTTTTTTACAGATTGAAAGCAAGACCCTCCATCGGCCGCAAGATTACACCGCGCTTTCCTGTGACACTTGCTTTCCCGCGGTGTCTGGAACCGAACCCACAGTATCTCTGAGGGATGCCAGCACGCATTCATCTAATCAGCTTTCTCCACGCGTGTGCCATGCACTAGCCTGGGCGATGCCATACAATTAATAACAGGCGCCTCCTTTCCAGTGGGAAGCTAGAGATGTAAGTATTGGGATTTTGTATGGTCGCCGCTACTTAAGATTCCAGAGTGGATGGTTAATACGCCCAGGGCTGTTCATTAGGTAAATCGTGGCTCTGAGCCGAGGGCGGGCAGGCGAGTGACTGGAAGCAAGAGCTTCCGGTCTGTGGCATCAGCTGAGACATGACAGAGGCCTGCAGCAAGGCCCTGGGAATAGAGAGGCACCATCATCCGCCACGTGGACACAGAAATCCAAGGGATTTGAGAGCACTCGGATGCAGACTACGGAGGACAGCAGGTGGGACATTCAAGACGACTTAGGCCTCCGGCGGGAGCATCGGTTTAATGCTGAAGCCAGTTAGGAGGTCGGAGCCGTGAGGGGAGAAAACAGCAGATGTAGAGACTTAGATGCCCAGGGAGCCCCAAAGATCCCCGTGAACACATGGAAACGCGGGTCTGGGGCCTAAAGACTGGCCTTTGGACCAGAGAGAGCAAGAGTCTGAAATCTTAGCAAACAGTGGCGGCCGAGTCCCTGAGGGAACGTCCCCCAGAGGCAGGACGCAGAAGGATGAGGCGAAGAAAGAAGCGCCCAGAGAAGCCAGAGGAGACGCAGAGATGAGCAGGCCGCGGGGCAGAGCCGGGCCGGAGGCAATGCTGCGTCGGGGTCAGGGTACAGTGGGTCTTGCATTCAGAGCTCAGGAGAGGACGGAAGTGAGCTAAGCTGGTCCCTCGTGGGAACCAGCATATAGAGTCCAGAGTTCATTGAATCGGGAGAAGGAAGGGCGAACAGAGACGGTAGCTTGAATCAGCTTGGAATGACAGGAAGGAGCAAGAATAGTCCATTGTTCGCGGGTAAGATAGGGCTTTGTAAAAGATATTTTCTTTTTATTGACTTTTAGAGAGAGAGTAAGGGTGGGGGGAGAGAGAAACATCGAATCTAACTGGCGACCTCTTGGTGCCTGGAACAACGCAGGCACCCCGGCCAGGGCATAAGATAGGGCTTAAAAACAAACAAAAATGAAGCTCCTTCGAACATTAGTGTGAAAAGGGGAAGGAGCCAGGAGAGAGCAGGCAGTGTCTATGTGTGCCAGGTGATCCACTAACGCTTCACACAGTCTTTCATTCCATTCTCATCATCACCTTGAAGGGAGGTATGCTGTCCCCTGACTCACCTGGTTAACTAACTTGCCCAGAGGGGTGAAGATTTGTTTCACTACAAAGATCACATTCTGTCTGTTGGTTTAGATAGAGGAGGGTGCGAAGGAACGGGCCGAGGTCACTGACAGACACTGCTTGGGGAGAAATACGGACGCCCGCTCCCCCCAGGACAGAAGGCAGGAGGTGAGGACCGGCCTGTGCAGAGTGAGGCCGGCCGATGGATACACGGGAGCTGAGGGACACGCTGAGCCTCGGTCGGTCATTTCCTAAGAGGGAGTGGCCAAGGAGGGTAGTGTGAGATTAAAAACACTCATTGGATGATTGACAATGAGAAATCACCGCTGAATAGCAGTGTTGGGTAAAAGACGGGAAAAATGGTTAAAAAATTTTCCAATATCTTTTTCAGCGTTCACTTTCTTGGGCTTTAAAAAAAAAGTGCTGGGGGGTTGGGGGGCTGGGTACAGGCTAGAAGGGGTCAATGGGAAAAAGGGGGACATACGTAATACTTTCAACAATAAAGGTCCTAAAAGAGCCAAGTTGTTTTTTTTTAAAAAGCCCTTAAAAAGGGAAGAGAGGATGGGAGAATCAGCATATTGTAGAACTGTATGAACGTATCTTTACGTTTCTATCCATTTAAGTTACGTTTCCTAAAGAATAAAGGATGAAGAATCGAAGAACTGCAGCTTCTTAAGAGAACGCAGCGGAGAGAGCCCGGGCCGTCGGTGAGGAGAGCGCCTCCGGTCCTGGCTCCGTCACCAGGCCGTTCCCATCAGCCCCTGGGTCTGTTTTCTCAGCTGCAATGTCTGGGGCTGGTCTGCGGGAGCTGAAGTGCCTTTGAGCTCAGAGTGTCTGTGCCGGCCTGGCGTTTGGGTCCCGTGTAACACCCCAGCCAGGGACACGGACTCGGCAGTCAGCATGCTCGCGTTCAACCTCACACTCCTGTCCACGCTGCATGACTCGTGGGCACGTTGTTAGCCCCTCTGGGCCTCAGTTTCCTCATCTGTAAACTGGGGATACTAGCAGTAGATACTCCCCTGGGTGGTTATGAAGATTCAATGAAAAAAAACCACACAACCACCTTCTCATTGAAAGTGCTGACAGCAGTAAGTACTAGATAAACGGAAGCTGTTGTCATTAGCGACTATAGATGCTGTTATTCCGACGCCCTTTGCCCCTGCTGAGAGCACCAGCTCTGCACCTACGTGCTGCGATCGCAGCGCACGGAGGTGAATGGAATTAACCAATTGGCGTTTGCCAGGTTCCCCTTTTGGGAAAGGAATGAAAGGAATTTTCAAAGATCTGAGTGGTCGGGACCTCTGGGTTATGATTCAGCCACAGTCGACTGTCAAATTTTCCCACAGCCCAGTGGAAAGTCACTGAAGACTCCGCACAAACAGTGCCCCCCCCGCCCCCGCCCGCGGCGTTTCCCTGTGAGGACGCACCGCTGGCTTAGAGAGCTGGCCGGCGGGAACGGGTCTGAGCAGGCCTGGCAGATGTGCCAGCCCAGGCGCTCAGGGCCCGCGAGTGCTTCCGCTGCACCGACCGCGCCTTCGAGAGTCTGTTGTCAGCCCGACTAGCATGGCAGAGAAAAGTTGGGGCCTGTTCTGGCTTGTTCTCCCGGGCGGGGACACTGAGGCAGTGACTGCGCAGGTTAGTTCAGAGGCCGGAATCTCAAGTCCGCCTCCTCCATGCCTTCCTCTGTGGGGAAAGTTAAGATTACGGACGACACCCTAGCTGGTGTGGCTCAGTGGATAGGACATCGGCCTGTGGACTGAAGGGTCTGGGTTTCAATTCTGGTG